CATGTAGACAGTTTGTCTACCTTTATTTTTACTTTACTTTATTTTTATTTTTGTTTTTATAAAGAAGGCAGAGAAAATAAGTACTAGATGAGGAGCCAGGAGATCTGGGCTCTAGTCCCAGCTTTGACCAATTCAGTTAATCTCAGAGATCCTCAGCTTCCTAACCTTAGAACAGGGAAGTTGACTTTATTGATGATTCCCAAAACAGTGCTAGTCTCTGATGATATTTTCTTTTTTTTAAATTAAATCTTTATTGCCATCTTTACTTTAAATGTCAAAATCTATCCCTGTCTGAAATAATCATCAGCCCTCTTCCCTCTCACACAGAATGGATTGACATAGGGTAAGATGGCAAAGGAAACTGTTTAATTGCACAGGAAATGACTTTGCCACCAATCTTTCCTGTAGTTAAAGGATGGTTATCTCTTCTGGAAAAGCTGGAATTCCTATATGTGTGACACTCAGTAGTAAACTCTCCAGATCCTGTCAAAAGCCTGCAGGAGACCATTCATCTTTGAGATAGATAATATAAAGAGCATGATAACAATTCTGATTCTCTAAGTTCTATCACTGTATCTCATTGAACTATCAAAAGCACAAAACAAAGACCTAGGTTCTTGGATTTTATTTTATCCCAGTAGAAATACTTTCATTGTTACAATTTAACATGCCTTCAGCTTTATTTGAAGGTCAATATAAAATACTAGAGGCCTGGTGCACAAAATTCGTGCACTGGGCGGGGGGAGGGGGGGGGGGGTGTCCCTCAGCCCAGCCTGCACCCTCTCTAATCTGGGACCCCCTCGGGGGATGTCCCACAGGGATCAGGCCTAAACTGGCAGTGGGACATCCCTCTCACAATCCAGGACTGCTGGCTCCTAACCACTCACCTGCCTGCCTGCCTGATTGCCCCAACTGCTTCTGCCTGCCAGCCTGATCACCCCCTAACCACTCCCCTGCTGTCCCTATCAACACCTAACTGCTCCCCTGCCGGCCTGATCAGCCCTAACTGCCCTCCTCTGCAGGCCCAGTTGCCCCCAACTGCCCTCCCCTGCAGGCCTGATCTTGCCCCCAACTGCCCTCCCCTGCAGGATTGGTAGCCCCCAACTGCCCTTCCCTGCAAGCCATCTTGTGACAATGTGGGGGTGGCCATCTTGTGATGATGTGTTTGAATTTCATGTAATTTTATAGACACAAATATTTTTACTTTCTGGTGTTTCTTTTAACCATTTAAAAATAGAAAATCATTTTTTAGCTCACAAGCCTCACAAGAGGCCAGGCAATGGGCTTTACTTTGCTGATACCTGGAATTAGATAGAACAGCATCTGCACATAATAGGCACAAATGAATGATTTTCCCTCCCAGAAATAACTGGAAACTGTGTAATCCTTATGTTGATTTCTTTGTGTAATCTTTATGTTAATTATGTTTAAGTTTTTTGTTTGTTTGTTTTGTTAATCCTCACCCAAGGATATTTTTTCCCATTGCTTTTTAGAGAATAGGAAGGGAGAGAGACAGAGAGAGACATCAATGTGAGAGAGACACATCGATTGGTTGTCTCCCTCAGATGCCCTGACCAGGGCCTCGGATCTAACCTGCAACCCAGGTACATGCCCTTGACTGGGAATTGAACCCACAACCCTTCAATCTGTGAGCCAACAATTGCTAACCTCTGAGCAACACTGGCTAGGGCTCATGTATTTTGTTTTAGAATGAAAATAAATTAGCTCAGAGTCCAAATAATATATATACTATAATTTGAAGAAAAGATATCGTATTGCATAAATTACAAATATAGCTAGCTGTCCCTTTGCCTGAAGGAAAATAAAAAGACTGGTGGAATCTGGCATTATATGTTAGATTGGAAAGCAATTGAAACTTGCGTTTTTTGATGCTTCCATGTCTTTCTCTTCTTACTGTTAGAAATAAGGCGAGCCCCCAAAATCAGGGCTCCTGGTAAAACACAAAGCACGCTCGGGAGCCAGGCAGGAAGGCAAATATCTTCACTCCTGCAGGAGGGTGCGCATTCACATGGTCTGGGAGCACATGCACACTGGGTGGCGGTCTGCTCAGGCTCTCATGCCTGGCACACGTAATCTGTTCCTCACTCTTGATTGGAAGAGCTTAGGCTCATACTCTTGTGCGATTGGCTAATTTAAACAAAGGGGTTGACCTTTGCTGTTTCAAAATGGCAGCCCCTCATGGGAGCCAAAATGGCAGCCGCCAAAACTCTCTTCTTTGACAGAAAAGATTATTTGTTTATTCTCACATAAACAATAACTAAATCCTTCCCCAAAGCAACATACTCCATAATAAACATACATTAGGTAGGATTGGTCTGGTGCTTGAATAATGTTTCTTTTTTTAATTTAAGGAGTATGGATGTCTCTTAATAGTATTTTTAGTCTACTAGAGGCCGGTGCACGAATTTGTGCACGGTTGGGGTCCCTCAGCCTGGCCGGCAATTGGGTCCTATCAGGGCCATCTCGTCAATTCTGGGGGGTGAGGAGGGACCGCCGGAGGTTGACTGGCCAGCCGGGGGGAGGGACCTCGGGAGGTTGACTGGCCAGCCGTGGGGAGGGACCACGGGAGGTTGGCTGGCCAGCCGTGGGGAGGGACCGCGGGAGGTTGGCTGGCCAGCCGTGGGGAGGGACCGCGGGAGGTTGGCTGGCCAGCCATGGGGAGGGGCCATGGGGGGTTGGCTGGCTGGCGGCAGGAGGTTAGCTGTGGGAGTGCACTGACCACCAGGAGCAGCTCCTGCATTGAGCGTCTGCCTCCTGGTGGTCAGCGCGTGTCATAGTGACCAGTTGTAACAGTCACTTAGGCTCTTATATATATAGATAAGTAGATTAACATTTCATTTTACATTATTATCATTGATTATTCTCTCTAGATATACCTGTATTTCCTACGATCACAGCCACTGTGACTTTTCAGGAATTCAGATATGATGAGTTTGACGGCTCCATCTTTACTATACCTGACGACTACAAGGAAGACCCGAGCCGTTTTCCTGATCTCTAATGACGCGAGCATGACGCCATCTCACCAAGGAAAGCAAGAGCGTGCAGAGACCCCACAGGGAGGCGCAGTAGGAGGGACAGATGCTTTCAGTGAAGAAAAGGGAATTTCATAGAACTGACACATCAGTGATATGACATAATGAAATGGGCCTCTAATAAGTTTCCTGATGTGCCATTTTCAGTCTTTTTAAATATATACATATTATAGTGTAATAGTTTGACACCTTAATGACCCTAAGTACTTCTTATGTAAAACAGCTATGAGTGCTGTGATTTGTTTTTAAAAATTTTTACACTTCTTGTTGAAATATATATGCATATATATCTATATCTATATCTATAGTTATATCTAAAACACTCCTGGACCAGTAACATAAATTAAATGTCTTAAGAGATATGAAGCCCTTTACAGTTGTCATCTTATATTCACACACTGACCACCAGGAGACAAACGCTCAACGCAGGAGCTGCTCCTGGTGGTCAGTGCGCTCCCACAGCCAACCTCCTACGGCCGGCCAAGGTGACATTTATAAATATTCCTTCCAACTTTGTTTCCATAAAATGTAAACTATGTAACTTTATGTATAGTTCAGTAATTTGAATGTTTGTTCAATATGATGAACTAGAAAGGAATGCAGTTTTCTGTAGATGAATGAACCAAATGGTAACCATTAAACAATTGCATTTATATGTTGCAATACATTTCAGAAGGAGCATTCACTCTGCAGGGAATAAGGTACCTCCTTTAGCACCTTAGTGCAATTCATTGTGGTGCTATTTGTTTTTACCTGAATTCTTTCTTCAATGGTAAATGTTTGTTACTAATCTTCCTTTCATAGAACCTCTATTTTTTTTTTTCTAAACTTGAGTTTTAAAGCCTTTTTTGTGTTCATAATAGGATATGACTAGCATGTTTAAGGATAGTCCTCTTCCAAATCTCAGCACTTTAAAAATATTCCAAAATTTTAAACTTGCTTCCTAATAACTGCACATCATTCTGATTATTTTGTTTGTTTTTAGTGTTCATGTCAGTTTTAAACAACTCACATTTTGGACTCCCTACATATTTAATGCTTTCAAAGTAAGGTAAAAACATTTTATATGCTAACAGAATATATTTGTTATAAGTTAAATTCCAAAAATGTACACAAGATTGATAATTCCTACTGTTTATTTTTTTAAGTCACAAGAAAATATTTATTGGTTTTAATTATCTTCAAAGTGTTAAAAAAATCATGCATTACTCATTTTCGCACTTAAAATTTTTCATGTTTATTCCAAGATGGTTTGATGGTCCAAGAATGAAAATAAATTAGGGAGAATAAGGTATAACAGACATAATATGTTATGTTGTATTTAAGAAATTAGCTAAAGAAATGCTTTTTAAATGTATCCTGATGAATGTGTGAGAATGCATTGTCAGGTTTTTTAGAGTGACCCGTAATTTAAACATTTTCAAGAATTTTAATTAATTTGAATGAGTTTAGAAACCTTTATTGAAAAGATGATTATTTACAAATCCAAAGCATCAATCATAAGAAAATTTTTATAATAAACATCTTTAAAGCTGCATCTTTCATGCTGATAACATAATTGCATATGTTGACATTTTATTAAATACATTTTATAATAAAGAAAAATAATCATAGTTAAAAATTCAAAGGCCAATTACTACCTGGTGTGGGTCTGTTGAATTTTGTGAGAAGAGTTGGAAACCCAGACTAGGTTTATTAAATACAAGTTGATCCCAATTATTTTGGGAATCCTTATAGATCAAGTGACTTAGAAATTGAATTATCTTGTCAGTAATTATGTGAGGTTTGAGACACTGAATGGTAGTTATCACTGTTGCTTTTAGGCTCCCTTACTCTTTGGGAATATGTTATATTTTCAGGATTATACTATAGATTTTTCACAAGTACAGACAATTTAGTGGGGGAAAAAAACATGGAAAATTGCAACTTGGAACTTAACAATTTCCTAAAAGCTGTGAATATTTTGCTGGGGTACACTGGAGGTAGGAAGACTACTGAAAACTTTTGCACTTGGATTTTGTTTTTAACTCTTAACTTTTTCTTTCATAAAGGATAGTAGAAAGAGATGATCCATTCCAAATGTCTTTTATTTGATTATAAAGGACAAGCAAATGTCAGTATCTCTTATAATGGTGAAAACAAGGAGTTATTAATGCAAATAAACTTTTCACATTAAACTTTTCAAAATGTGCCTTTTAATCCAGTTAATGAATGAAGTGATATTCTGTGTTTCAAGTAACTAAATCAAAACAGCATATCCTATATAATAAAGAGGTAATATGCAATTTGACCCTCACACCGTAACACCATCACAAGATGGTACGCACAGCGGGGGTGGAACAGGCTGCTCCGCGCACTGGCCCCCACCGCAATTACCGCGGCCCCTTGTGGGGGTGGGTCTCCGCTGCTGCTCTGCACGGCTTCCACCGGGGTGACCAGGCCAGCACAGGAGGGCAGTTGGGGGAGATCGGGCCGGCAGGGAAGGACAGTTGGGGGCGATCAGGCCGGCAGGGGAGCAGTTAGGCATCAGGCCAGCAGGGTAGCAGTTAGGGGGCAATCAGGCAGGTAGGCCATCAAGCGGTTAGGAGCCAGCAGTCCCGGATTGTGAGAGGGATGTCAGAGGGATCCCAGATTGGAGAGGGTGCAGGCTGGGCTGAGGGACACCCTCCCCGCCCAATGCATGAATTTTGTGCACCAGGCCTCTAGTATTTTAATAATCCCACATGAAAATCTAGATTTTGTAGTGTAGGTCCATAAAATTCTATGTCTTCTTTGTGATTGAAGAAAATTAAAACTTGGGGGCCTATGAAATAGTCACCTTAAATGGCTATTTTGAAGAGCTCAATATTTCTGCCAACAGTGTGGCATCAAAAGAAGGTCAGATTCTTGTCTTAAAATAATTTCCGAGAGAGAATTTGCTTCATAGAGAATTGTCAGATTTCATAAAAAGGAAGCATAAAGCAGATGCTTTGATTATTGTGAACCTAGGAACATATGATGGTCTGGAAATTAACACATTTCAGAGAAGCTAATAGCTCACAGAAGCTGAAAAACAACTTTGTTTCTGCTTTGAATTGGTATTGAGCCCCACTCACACTAATAGAAATGAGTTTTTGTAGTGTTATTCATGTACAGTTTGAAATTCACACCTTGTGAGAGAGTAGTGAATAATGATCTTTAGTGACCCCTTCTTATTTTTCACTAAGTCTACAGAATTGATCCTGTTTCAAGGGGACAAAAAAGGTCTGGACTAAATGTTTTCATATTGACTTAAGAATTGCTTCCTTTTGCTCATTTATGTTCCTTTTATTTGCAAATAGCATGAGTAAGAAAGTTACAGTAGAACACTAGGTGAATTTGAAGTCCTGCCTTTATTTTTATTTATTTATTTTTGAAGTCCTGCCTTTAAAATTGAGTGAGAGAATTATTAATTAGTATGGAACACATTATGCCTCTGCTGTTAACTCCAGCAAGAGGAATCTTAATCATGTTTTCTAAAATTAAGAAAATGCATCCTTACCAAAGTTTTTATATTTGGAAACTGTAAACTTTCAAAGACAACTGACAGTAAAACTTGCCCAAGAGACAAAAGGACAGAGGAGATATTACACTACTTGTAAAGTGCAAAGTTAATACCCTCACAAAGCATTTTATGTCAGAAATCTGGGGCAGTAGTATTTTAGATTGTCATCTAAAAATGTCACCTCAAGTATTTTGGCAATTTTAGGTCATGTGACCCTCTACAGTACTATCTAGTGATGAACTTCTAAAATTATAATCTTATTTTAGTATAGTACTTTTAGTCATAATGGCACCAATGATACAGTTACAATTTCACTTTTGCCACAGCACCTGCAAATACCTAAGCAAAATCTAAGGATTTTAAAGAAAGGTACTTGGAAAGCATTCCTGAATTTGATCGTTTTGCAGATGAAAATAACTTGCCTAAAGTAAAAAACTTTGTGTAATAAAAAACAAAAACAAAAAAACCCACCACTTACTTACCTGTACCTCCCATAGCATTCTTGGTCACTAAAGGTGGCTGACAGTGACTGGCTGGGATGCTCTAATGAAAATGGGTGGGTGGTGTAGGAGTTTTGGAGAGCAGAAGTGAAGCAGAAATTTTGTAGCTTACCTGCTGGCCCCTTTGGGATGAGGTAAGAGCGAGGCCTGCAGTTACTTCACCTTCTCTTCCTTCAGCTTCTCACACTTATGGGCCAGATATGTGAGTTTAGCTTCATGATGCAGAATCCTGGCTTCTGCCATGCCACCCAGGTCAGAAGCAATGAGACCTGAGTTCTAGCCCATCCTTGTGGGTTCCAGCTTGTGCTTGTGCTTCTAACTTACTCTTACCTCTAATTACCCATCTTCCCTTCTCAACTGCCTGCAGGCTTCAACCTCCAGCATCATACAAAGCCCATAAACAGATTTGAAACTGGTTAACCAGCTCCCATAATTAAGGTCAAATCCCTGTAACAAATCTTTTTTTTTTTTCATAACATGCAACGATGTTTTTTATTATGTATGGGTTTTAGAAATTATTTCCTCGATCACTTTGTACACAGGCAAAAATAAAATGTACTGTTTAGCATATTAGAACTTGCAAAACTGATCCTTGCCAACAGCAAGGAAAATTATCCCTAAAACATGCTTAACCAGGAGGCCAATTCATCTGCCGACCTCCAAGAACATGAAGATGAACATGATAGGCTGCCCCGCATCTGTGCCTTCATTCACTACCATGCGGTAACCCTTCTTTAGGCCCAGATCAGCAGCACATTTCTTGCCAACAATCATTAAATGTCCAAGAAGATTTTCATCATCATCTTCTGCTACAGAAATCTGGGATATATGTTTCTTAGGTATCACCAGAAAATGTGTTGGTGCTTGAGGGGAAATGTCATGGAAAGCAAGATACTGGTCGTCCTCAGAAATGATTTTGGCTGGGATTTCCTTGCGAATGATCTTCCCGAAGATCATGGCGCCACCAGGCCAAGTGGCTTGAGCCTTGGCGATCTCATCTGCCATCGTGGCCTCGTTTCTGCAAGGCTGCTGGGGGTGCAGCCCGAGCGGAGACTGTAACAAATCTTTTTCTCTTTTGAATGCTGACTGGTAAAAAAAAATCTACATGCTTGTCTTCTAAAACAATTTAAGTAAGCAAATTTTAACTTCATTTTTGTGACTGTTAACCTTCAATTCCTTATGCAAAAATCATCATACTTTATTTAAATATTGCAGTTTTTAAAAATATATATATTTTATTGATTTTTTTATAGAGAGGAAGGGAGAGGGATAGAGAGTTAGAAACATTGATGAGAGAGAAGCATCAATCAGCTGCCTCCTGCACACCCCCTACTGCGGATGTGCCTGCAACCAAGGTACATGCCCTTGACCGGAATTGAACCTGGGACCCTTCAGTCCCCAGGCTGATGCTCTATCCACTGAGCCAAACCGGCTAGGGCCATCATACTTTATTTAACTAGCTTTTTTTTAAAAAAAATACATCATGTTACTAATTTTAGTATCACTAATTTAGTGACTGTGCACTGGAAAAATAACCTTTACAAAGTGATATTTTGAAAAGAATGAGAACATGTCACTTCCCCAATTATTTTTTTTTTTGTATAAGAGAACATTTATTTGGTAAATCACAGGTAGAAAAATTTCTAGAAGTGGATTTATAGAAACAAGTTACAGAGGTAAAGGAAGGGCCCATGGAACTTGGAGTGAGGAAGCTAATGGTAAAGTGTGTGGGGCAGGGAAGAGGAAGATGGGAAAGGCATGGGCGAGCTCCAGGAAGAAGAGCACCTTTCCCAATTATTTTTGTAAGGACATTATTTAAAAAACTAGAGGCCCGGTGCACAACAATTTGTGCACTCGGGGGAGTCCCTCAGCCTGGCCTATGCCCTCTTGCAGTCTGGGACCCCTCGGAGGATGTCCACCTGCTGGCTTAGGCCCGCTCCCTGGGGGATCGGGCCTAAGCTGGCAGTCAGACATCCCTCTGGCAGCCTGGGAGCCATCAGGGGATGTCCACTTGCCAGCAGGGAGCAGGCCTAGCTGCAGTTGGACATCCTTAGCGCTGCTGAAGAGGCGGGAGAGGCTCCCGCCACCACCGCTGTGCTGGCAACCATCAGCCTGGCTTGTGGCTGAGCAAAGCTTCCCCTGTGTGAGCACACTGACCACCAGGGGGCAGCTCCTGCATTGAGTGTCTGCCCCCTCGTGGTCAGTGTGTGTCACAGTGACCAGTCATTCCCAGTCGTTCTGCTGTTAGGGTCAATTTGCATATTACCCTTTTATTATATAGGATAAAGGCCTGGTGCATGGGTCGGGGCCAGCTGGTTTGCCCTGAAGGGTGTCCTGGATCAGGGTGGGGGTCCTGCTGGGGTGCCTGGCCAGCCTGGGTGAGGGGCTGATGGCTGTTTGCAGGCTGGTCAAGCCCCCCAGTGGGGACCCTCACCCATGGGGGTTTGGCCAGCCTGGGTGAGGGGCTGAGGGCTGTTTTCAGGCTGGCCACAGCCCCTTCAGGGTGGGGGGCCCTACTGGGGTGCCTGGCCTGCCTGGGTGAGGGACTGAGGGCCGTTTTTCAGCTTCCCACACCCCCTTCAGGGTGGGTGTCCCCACTGGGGTGCTTGGCCAGTCTGGGTGAGTGGCTGATGGCTGTTTTCAGGCTGGCCAAGTCCCCTGGTAACCGAAGCTCCCAGCCTCTCCTTTTTTTATTTATTTTTTATTTTGGGATTTATTTATCTTCTATAATTGAAACTTTGTAGCCTTGAGTGGAGCCCATTTCTGGCCAGAGCAGGCGGGAAGCTTGGCTTCCTCCATCGCCGTGGGCAACCCAAGCCTTTTGCTTGCTCCAGCTCCGTGGCCACGGCAGCTGGAAGCAGGTATCTGGGATTTATTTATCTTCTATAATTGAAACTTTGTAGCCTTGAGCAGAGCTCAGGGTCCGCAAGGCAGGCAGGAAGCTTGGCTTCCTCCATTGCCTCCAAGCCTCCTGCTTGCTCCAGCTCCATGGCCGCCACCATCTTAGTTGGGTTAATTTGCATATTTACTCCTGATTCGCTGGTGGGGCGTGGCTGGTGGGCATGGCTTGTGGGTGTAGCAGAGGTACGGTCAATTTACATGTTTCTCGTTTATTAGATTAGAGGCCTGTTGCATGAAGAGATTCGTGCAATAGGCCTTCCCTTGGCTGCTGGCACCGGTTTTCCACCCGCACCCGGGACCCAGGCCTTCGCTCTGGCTGGGCTCTGGCCAGAGCCACCCCAGAGCCATCAGGCTTCGCTGCTCGGCAGTCCCCGGGGCCCTGTGGCCTCGCTGCTCCGCCTGGCGCCGGGGACGTGTGGCCTCGCTGCTTCGCCGATCCCGGGGCTGTGAGGCCTTGCTGCTCCGCCTGGCGCCAGGGTGTGAGGCCTCGCTGCTCTGGCCCCGGGCCCGTCAGACTTCACTCCACCACTTGGAACCTAGTATGCAAATTAACCACCATCTTTGTTGGCACTTAATTTGCATATCACGCTGATTAGCCAATGGGAGGCGTAGCGAAGGTACGGTCAAATACCATGTTTGTCTATTATTAGGTAAGACTAGTGGCCGGTGCACGAAATTCATGCATGGAGGGGTGGGTTCCTTCAGCCCATCCTGCACCCTCTCTAATTGGGGGCCCCTTGGGGGATGTCTGACTGCTGGCAGAGGGATCGGGCCTAAACCAGCAGTTGGACATCCCTCTCGCAATCTGGGACCGCTGGCTCCTAACTGCCTCTGCCTGCCTGCCTGATTGCCCCTAACCTCTCTGCCTGCCTGCCTGATCACCCCTAACTGCCCTCTCCTGCCAGCCTGATCTCGCCTCCAACTGCCCTTCCATGCCAACCTGGTTGCCCCCAACTGCCCTCCCCTGCTGGCCTGATCTCACCCCCCAACTGCCCTCCCCTGCCGGCCTGATCTCATCCCCAACAGCCTCTGCCTGCTTGATTATCCCTAACTGCCCTCCCCTGCCGGCCTGATCTCGCCCCCAACTGCTCTCTCCTGCCAGCCTGGTTGCCCCCAACTGCCCTCCCCTGCTGGCCTGATCTTGCCCCCAATGGTCCTCCCCTGCCCGCCTGATCTCGCCCCCAACTTCCCTCTCCTGACAGCCTGATCTTGGCCCCAACGGCCCTCCCCTGCAGGCCAGTTTGGTTCTGATTGGTCAGTTTCTATGCCAGTCAGCGTCAAAAGCTCTGCCTCCTAGGCAGCCATTGGCTCCTCACAGCACCCAGATTCTGTTCTGATTGGTTGGTTCCTATGCCAGTCAGCATCTCTGGGCCTATCAATGGGGCCTGATCAGAAAGGCAGGGCTGATCAGCCGCCCGGGTAGAGGCCTGGAGAGAAATGGAGACATGTGGGAAACCGCCTGTTGTCTTCACTAGCAGAGAGGTATGGACAGAGAACCCAGAAGGCTGGTGACCCTTGAAGCCCTAGCAAAGGTCAGAGCTGTGCACCCACTGTTAGTCCAGACAATGGTAGCTGAAGCAACTTCCCCACCAGATAGTCATGTAAATCCTTATTGATAAGATAGTCTGTGTGTTACTGGAACTTGCCTGCCTAAGGGCTATGGGTGTATCCCAAACCAATAAAAGGTTGGTGAGGCCTGAGCACCAGTAGAAGTCCTTCCCCTTGAGTTGGACTTACCCGCCTGGCCCCCCAATATTTCCAAATTATCTCGTCTCTTCTCTTTCATTTGTGTGCGGCTCCTCTTCCAGATCCTGAACCCTGAACCACGCGGGGCGTGGGGGGAAACATTTACAACAGCTGCTGGCCAGACTGGGAAAGAGAGGCAAGTGCTGATCAAAAGTTGCCACAGAGCAATGGTCAGTCCCTGCTTCTCTCTTCAGGCTTCTCTCTGGCCCTGATTCACAGCCCCCTCAGCAGTCAGTGCTGTGGCACTGCATCTGCAGCAGAAGCAGTCAGCAGCTGGGTTGCCACGCAGCAGCGCTGCCTACAGGACTGACTTCTGGTTGGTTGAGCCTCGGTAGTGTTATGACCCAGGGTTTTTATATATTAGGATGTTTGGCCTGGATGGTGTTGCTCAGTGGTTGAGTGTCGACCTATGAACCAGGAGATCAAGGTTCGATTCCCAGTCAGGGTACATGCCCGGGTTGTGGGCTTGATCTCGATCCCCAGTAGGGGGCGTGCAGGAGGAAGCTGATCAATGATTATCATTGATATTTCTGTATTTCCCTCTCTGAAATGAATAATATATATAAAAATGTTCATCATTTTGTGAATTCTTATATTGTAATAAGTGTATATATATATGTATCTAAAAATAAATGTATTCTTAAGAATATTCCCACGGATGAAGAATTTAGTATGGTTCACGTGTGTTATTTTGCTAAAGAATTTATATTAAAAAAATGTATTTTTATTGCTTTCAGAGAGGAAGAAGAGATAGAAACATCAATGATGAGAATCATTGATTGGCTGCCTTCTGCATGCCCCCTACTGGAGATTGAGCCTGCAACCGAGCATGTGCCCTTGATTGGAATCGAACCCCACAGGCCGAGGCTCTATCCACTGAGCCAAACCCACTAGGGCTGCTAAAGAATTTCTAAATGAATTTCACATAAAATGAAAATGGCAACAAAATTAAAACTGAGTAAAACAGATGAGTAAATCTACAACTCCAGAATTAGTCTCATTTAGAAAGGACCTATGCTAATAAAGCCTTAGGAACAGACATTCTGGATGCTCTTCAAAATCCCAGTAGCATTTCCATAACAACCATATTTAACCAAAGTAAACACAACTTAAGTACTGATTGCATGGCCCTGAGGCACTTAATCTAGAACTCAACCAAAGAAAGTGGTATTGTTTGCTAGAGGAAAAGTTGGCTTGTACATTTTCTGTGATACCCACACCAGAACTTTACTCAGTTGTAAGATGCAACTTGAAGTAAAATTAGTTTGTACTGTTCTAGTAGAAGCCCTGTTTGTTCTTTCCCTAAGTATCTAACATTTATACATACTCTCCACATAGACACTGTAATCACTACCAGGAAGATTATCATCCAAAACCCATCATCACAAAAATGAGAAGAGCAACATAGCCTTCTCTCTTAATCTGCATGCAACTTATTGTAGTGATTCTGCTAAAACATTACCCTAAACTAAATTATAATTTTGAAAAGCTCCATAGCAGGTAACAGGCAACACAAGCCTGCATCTCTCAGCTCCACCCCCCCCCCCCCACGCCAAAATTATCAACTACATTGCAGGATAGGTATCAATCTCATTTCACAATTAAGAAATTCAAAGTAAAAGATACAGGTCTCCTCAGCTGCAAATGAAACCAAAACTCATGACTAGACTCATAGCCACTACCTCTCATTCACTCCTGAAGAATTTAAACAAATAAATAGGACAAACATTTTTTCTAACAAAACCACTTTTATTTTTTTAATCATTTACTACTAAATACAGAACAAAACTCAAGTGTGGAAGCAGTCAGTATTCACTTGGTTTCAACTGATTGTGTTAAAGGCTTGTGTCCTGTGCAACCTTACCATTGTGTATAAAATGTTCACTGAAAAATAACCTAGGTACGGGTTCCCTTCACTGCATTTTACATCAGTGACACTATTTTATAGCCCAAAACTTAATCCCTTTTGAAAAGTTAAGTATATTTGTATTCAGAGATTACAAGTGAGGAAACAGACTAATACTAGGTTTAACCAGGTGAAACTGCCAACATTTTGTTTTGATTTACAAAAATGGCAGTCATATGGTTCAATCATCACCTACTAAGAAAGTTTTTGTAGGTTTCAGTAAATGTCACTTCTGTTCAACAGTTTTAAAATGACTATTAGGGCCATTACTAGAACTTCATAACTATAGACAAAATTCCTTTGGATAAAATCTTTAAAAAGTTACTTACTATAAACTGTAAAAACAATGCTGCTTTCTATATGGCATTTCAATTTTAAAAGTTAAAAAAATTATCAGACTTGGATAAGAGCTATACTTCCAAGTCTCATTTCCCCCTTAATCCCAGCCACTCTAACACTACTCATTTCATAAATGAATAAATATTTAGTATTGTACAGTAGATACATACCATTGAATTGCTATACTAGTCCAGCAAAGGCAAATATTTCACTGAAAATATAAATTTAGTAGATATAGGTGGGATCATTTATCCTACAGTTACTTTACTCAACCCAATTCCTACACCCAAAATATGAGAAATTTATACTAAGAAATAGATTGTTTTAGAAATTAAAGCAACTTTGATCATTCTGATGGTAACTAATCACTACAGTGATGGATTGTATAGTAAATATGTAGATTGTAGGGGAAAGGACTTGATTTGTAAAATGAATGAGGTAAATGTCATACATTCAACAGCTTGTAAATAAATACAAATACGGTTTTACAGGAACATGAACATAGGTTTAAGGGTTTTATTATCAAAGACTTGTAAAACAATTTCAGAAACTGTACATCAACATGGCACAGACTGTAGCCTACTTTTGTTTTTACTGCACAAAAGTGAAGCTGGAAACTCCTGTAACTAAGAAAACAGTTGCCTAAACTACTTTGCATTTAACATGGAATCACTGTGGGCATAAGATTACTACTGCAGTAACAGTAACACAAATTTATTGGTTTTACACAACTTGAGATCAAATAAAAAGTACATTATCAAGTACATTTGTCTCACTTTAAAAGCATATGGTCAATTTAAAATGCACTACCCCCTTTTTCCAACATTGAGATTAAAACAAATTAATAAAAGTGAAAAATTGAAAATTAGGACAAGAGATAAGTCTTTTTTTTATAGATGGACTCCGGATAGGCAGATAGCTTTTAATGATGTAGGTGTGAAATAAATTATTTCAGGGAAAAAAATTCCCAAACACCTTATGAAAAAGTATACAACTCTACTCCAAAATATGCTATTTACTCACTGCCAAAGACAGTTTCATTTGAAATCTTGTTTCTGTAATTAAAGCCTAAGCAGCCATCAAAAAAGGTTAGTGCATATATAACCTTTCAAAGTTAAACAAAAGCCACAAAATTTCAGCCACAAGGCTTAAAGGATTATCTATTTCAAATGCTTATTTCCAGATGTAACTATAAGAATGTTAACTTGTCATATCAACAAACAAGACCATAAGTAGATCCATCATGTTGGAGGATTTTAATGACATTGAGGATATTCCTGCCACAACTAACATGCAATCAGTGCATTCCCTACATGGCTCTATTACGGCAATGAATCAAATTCTAGAAATACTATAAGTGAACTTACTTAATAAAGGAGATTATACAACATAAACAATCCATGCCTGCTGTAGATGCATGCAGCTTTTCACTTCTGCTATGAAGCAGCACCAGAATAGTCAAGCTGCTTGGTTACTCAATCAGATTTCACCACATCAAGAATTGGTTACCCACATAGCATTTTCTAAAAACTTTTGGATGTAAATAATATCAATTACAGGAGCGTTATAACCATTTATAGCTCAGAGCTGTATACATCTAAGGTTTGAGATGAACAAATACAGCATGAAGATATCACACAAAGGAATGACACTGATGCATGTATACAGGTGGATTCTTATGGAGGCCATATTCAGTCACTCATATCCATGTCTTCTTCATGATGATCATCACCATTCACTTTGGATTCTCTCAGGGAATCACCAGTTCCCTTTTCCACAGAACATTCTTTTGTTTTGGGGGAAACTGGTTCTGTTGGTTTCTTCTCCTCTTTTTTCTCTTTCTCGCTGTCATACCCCTGTTCCTCTTCATCATAATCCCGTGTAACCTGCTTTGCCAAGGAGAATAATAAAAGTAAACGTCTTCACAGAAAAATCACTTCTTATAAGTACTACTACCACCTAAAATACCAAAATAAATTAGTATGTAAACATACTTTTACATCTTTATCACTCTCAGATTTTCTTTCCCGATCCTTTTCTTTATCTTTACTTTTCTTCTTCTTGCTTGTTGATCGTTCTCGTTCATCTCTGCCTCTTTCTTTGTCTTTATCTTTCTTCTTCTCCTTTTTATGCCTAGGATAACAGTAAAATGTTCTCAAAGAAAAAAAAGATGCTTTAAAGGATACGCTTGAGAATTTTAACCTGTAAGTATAGCAATAAGTTTTAACTTGTTTAGATGCTAAGCCTGACCCAAGTTCACATGATATAAAGAGGATACAGGGCCCTGGCCGGGTAGCTCAGTTGGTTAGACCATTGTCCTGATACACCACTAAGGTTGCAGGTTTGATCTCGTCAGGGCACAACAGGGGTGGGGAACCTTTTTTCTGCCAAGGGCTATTTGGATATTTATAACATCAATTCCTGGGCCATACAAAATTATCAACCTAAAAATTAGCCTGCTGTATTTGGTCAAACATTTAATTAACTCACCACTAATGCCTTGGGGCAAGGCCAGACCAAAATTTAGCAGGACCCGCGGTCTGGACATTTCCCACCCCTGGACATACAAGAAGCAACCAATAAATACATAAATAAGTGGAATAACAAATTAATGTTTCTATCAAATTAATAAATAAAAAAAAAGACTAGCCCAGCCAGTGTGGCCCAGTGGTTGAGTGTCGAACTATGAACCAGGAGAGGTCAAGGTTCAATTCCTGGTCAGGGCATATGCCCGGGTTGCAGGCTCAATACCCAGTGTGTAGTGTGCAGGAGACAGCCAATCAATGATTCTTTCACCATCACTGATGTTTATATATCTCTCTCTCCCTTATCTGAAATCAATGAAAATATATTTTAAAAAATATATAGCAAATATCCATTTTCAAAACACTGGACACAAGCCATGCTCAATAATAGAAGAAAACTAATTTGGTTACAGGCATAAAATGCTCAATCCTCCACAGTGTTTATTAAAACAGTCTCAAATCATAAGAGAAAAATAAAAGCACATTCATAAGCATTTTATGGAAAATAAAGTTCTGAAAATTAGAAAGAGTATATCTAAATCATTAGCATTCTTACCTCCTAGGGGACGGTGAGCGAGACAATTTTCTTTTCGGAGACCTGGGCTTTTTAGGAGATCTTGTGCCACTCCTGCTTCGTCGACGTCGTCTCTCTCTAGGACCACAAATGTACAAACTAGACTTTAAAATACAGACACATCATAGCAGATATGTCTATGATGGAGCTCCATTAGGAACTCAGAGCATTTTCAAATACAGTTTCGAGCTGAAGAATCAAATGAGTAATAATAAACCACAATTCTTTTTCAAACTACGTCCCTTTCCTTTAATGCTCTCAAGAAAACCCCAATTTCCAGCAATTCTTAAAAAATTACATTATCATAACATCAGATTTGTTAAACTTGAGGGAAGATTAACAATAACTTTTTGATTCATATATCAGTGTCCAGAAGAGGTATAGGATCGTACGTTGCAGATACTAGTAAAATAAAAAATTACTCTTAAATTCACTGGGTAAAATTTATAGAACTAAAGTTAATGTTAACATAGGATCAAATTGATTCCCTATACTCCAGCAAGCCATGTCCCCCAACACTGCTTTGAGCAATCATTGTTTAAGAAATATAGCCTTTTCCCTCTCTTTAAAACAGGGTGCAGAACGTTTTTTCTGCCCAGTGCCACTTGGATATTTGTAACATCATTCGTGGGCTATACAAAATCATCAACTTAAAGATTAGCCTGCTGTCCTGGCTGGTGTGGCTCAGTTGGTTGAGCGTCAGCCATGCACCAAAAGGTTGCCAGTTTGATTGCTGGTTAGGGCACATGCACAAGTTGCAAGCTAAAACCCCGGTGGGTGGTGATGGTGGGGAGGGTTGGTTGCAGGAGGCAGCCAATCAATGTTCTGCTCTCACATAGCTTTTCTCTCTCACTGCCCCTTCCTCTCTCTTGGTGAGATGTTCCCCACCTGTGGTTTAAAATGTGGCTTAAAAAAAAATTCTGCTGGTTACTATTCTCAAAAGCTATTAGGATTTGTGAGATTACAATTTAGGCACAAAATAAAAATAAAACCCCATTAATTTCAGTTGTCTAGCTTCCATAAAAGCTTTAGGGAAAAAAAAATACACAAAAAACCACCCAAAACCAACCAAACAAAAAATTACCTTTACAACCCTGTGTGGCACCTCCCCCCCCCCCCCCACAGTCCTGGAAACATTACACACAACTTCTCATTCATCAAATATTATCAAGGTGATCCAATAATTAAGCAGTGTAGAGTGCTTATGAATAAGTATATTAAATAAAGGAACAGGCAAAAACAACAAAAAGAAAAAATAAAAGGAAAAAAATAAAGAGCAAGGTAAGAAAAATAAATGCTGCACAATCCATCTTTCCCTAAGACCTAGTTTGTCATTTTCTTACACATGGTTTCATTTTCTGTTTTAAATAGTTGCCTCTCCGTATCTGCAGGTTTTACATCTATGGATGCCAGAGGGCTAACTGTATGCATTATTCTATGCAATTTAATAAAGGGTGTGCCCCCCCAATGTATACACATATTTTGAATAATTATAAAGGCAGTGTTTATAAAATACATTTCATTTTCAAAATTGAGGTATCAGCTGTTAAACTGTGCATACATCTTTTGGGGACACCCTGTATAAGGGACTTGAGCTTCTTGGATTTTGGTTCCTGCAGGGGGTCTTAATGTAATTTACATTTTCTGAAAATATTCCTCACCCTGAGAAGAAACCCCATAATACATTACCTTTAGGTATCACACCCCAACCATTAATCTACTTTTTGTCTTTATAGATTTATCTATTCTGGACACTTGTCAATGGAATCCTACAATTTATGGTTCTTTGTGACTGACTACTTTCATCTAAGTTGCCAAGGCTCATCCACCTGGTAACATTTATCAGTACTTTATTCCTTTTCATTGCTGGATAATTCATTGTATAGCTATACCATTTTGTTCACACTTGTTAGTTAATGAACACCTGGGCTGACTTTTTGGTTATTATGAGTAATAACACTGCTATGAAAATTAGTGTACACAGTTTTGTGTGTAACATTTTCATTTCTTTTGGGTATATCCTTAGAAGTGAAAATACTGTGTCAAAGCTCTTAATTTTTTTAAGGAATTACCAACCGTTTTCCAAAGCAGTTGCACCATTTTATATTCATGCCAGCAACATACAGAGTCCCAGGTTCTCCACATACTTGCCAACACTAGTTACCATCTGTCTTTTTTAATAACCATCCTAGTGTCTGTTTTTTGTTTTAATATATTTTATTGATTTTTTACAGCAAGGAAGGGAGAGGGATAGAAAGTTAGAAACATCGATGAGAGAGGAACATCGATCAGCCGCCTCCTGCACACCCCCCACTGGGGATATGCCCGCAACCAAGGTACATGCCCTTGACTGGAATCGAACCCGGGACCCTTCAGTCCGCAGGCCGACGCTCTATCCACTGAGCCAAACCGGTCAGGGCAATGTCTGTGGTTTCGATTTGCATTTCCCTGATGACTAATGTATATCTTTTCATGTTTATCAGACACTTGCATATATTCTTTGGAGAACTGTCAATTCAGATTCTTTGGCCATTTTTTAATTAGGTTGTCTTACTATAATTGAGTTGTAACAGTTCTTTGTATATTCTAGATACAAGTCCCTTTTTGAATATATAATCTGTTACTTTCTAGCACTCTGGCTTGTCTTTAAGTTCTTGACAGTATTCTTTGAAACATAAAAGTTTTTAATTTTGATGACCTCCAAAATTTACATTTATCTTTTGTTATTTATGCTTTTGATGTCATATCTAGAAAACCATTGCCAAATTCAAGGTCATGAAGATTTACTTCCATTTTAGGTTTTACATTTAGGCCATGCATCCATTTTGAATTAATTTTTGTATATAGAGTGACCCTCCTAAGCATTTAATAATCAATGTAAGAAAATCACTACAGCAAAATGTGTAAACTAGATTGGAAGAAAATGGAGTTACTAAGTATGGCCAGCCCTTACTAATCCTATAATAAAATCCTAATATGCAAATCAACCAAACAGCAGACCAACCAGTCGCTATGACGTGCACTGACCACCGGGGGGCAGATGCGCAATGCAGGAGCTGTCCCCGACTGGGGGCAGCTCATGTGTTGAGCGTCTGCACCCAAGAGGGAGGCAACCAGCGGTGGCAGGGGGTGGGGCCGGCCAGCGGGAGCACCAGGCCACCAGGCAAGGTGGGTACCAGCGGGGGGGACCCTGATCGCCGGCCAGGCCTATGGACCCTACCCTATATATTGGGAAGTCTCTTAGATTTAAAAATTAAAACCTGACAAGGCTACTCTAACACTGAAAGAACAGGATGACGCAGTGATGACATTCAAGGACTTTGGCTTGCACATTTTGTAGTCAGCCCTGATTCTGACACTTATAGCTGTGTGACAAAGCCAATTACTTAACTTCTCTCTGCTTCAGTTTTTCCACCCATAAGATGGGGAAAATGGTACTACTGCCTCAGAAGGATCATGTTATGTACTACTTTTTATAATCAGGGCAAAAAAATGTAGCTGCCCATACAACAGCAAGATGCCTTTCACCTGTATGAAAAGTATGGTCACTGGTGCATGCAGCGTCCTGGATTGCGAGAGTGATGTCTGACTGCCGGTTTAGGCCCGATCGGACATCCCCTGAAGGCACAGGCTGGGTTTAGGGACCCTCCCCTGCCCGTGCACGAATTTCGGGCACTGGGCCTCTAGTTTCATAAATACCAATGTTTATATACCATTGCGAAAAACACATTCCTGTGGAGTAAAGTTAACATTTAATTTTCACACTATGGCAGAATTACAAGTCTAAGAATGACACAAATTAGAACTTGACTACTTGCTATTATTTTATCAACAAAACCCTATATGTAGGGGGAAAAACTCTTGACTATTAATGTGGACATTTAAAGCATGACTTACTATGTAATAAAAATAAGTTTCATGTAATAATTCAAATCAGGATACAAAATGCATGTAGCAAACTAGAAAATGACCTCTGTTGAACTCCATATTATGTCAAATTCACTCTACACAGGCGTTCGCCAACCAGTGGTCCACAGACCACTGATGGTCCACATGGTCCAAAAGGTTGGCAACAGCTGCTCTACACTATGCATGTCAAACTCACCGCGAATTTGACATGCTTGCTCTACACCATAAATAGTAAGTAAAAAGAAAAGAACTTTAGGTTATTCTTCACAAGTTGCCTTTAAAATCTGTTAACACTGAAGTATGTACAGAGGTGGGCAAAAGAAGTTTTACAGTTCATATGGAAAACAATACAATAAGTAATAATACGAGAATAAACTTTTTTGTACTCACAACTGTAAGCCTACCTTTGCCCACTCCTGTACGTACTAGAAAACATGCAATGCTCACAACCTATTGATATCCTTGCAAATAGTTTTAAGAAATGCCAAGAATTTATAATGTCTTACCTGCTTGCACTTCTGGACCGTCTGGCTGTGCTATAACTTTTTGGTGGTGTTTTGGAACGTTTCTTTTCTTTGTCTTCTTTCTTTTTGTCTCTAATAAATGAACATAATTTATGAATGCATTAATAAATTTCACCTAATAAAAACTTATACAGTACAATCAAATAAACACTAAAGCACAGTGAGATCTAATTCCATTCTTAAAATACGAACATTATTCTGATACTAAATATAGAAATATAATTCGAATGGTATTACTTGTGATTAAAAATTTTTAAGAAAAAAATCCTACTTTTCTGGTATTCTACAGAAAACTTCTCTCCAATAGAGAGCATAGACTATAGAGAGAAAATGATAAAGGATGTTGGCCAGTTTCTTGATTGACTGGTACAAACACCAACAGTTTTAACACTTGGATTGCGGGAAACGAGTTAAGTCGGCTCGCGTGAATTGCGCGTACTCCGTGGGAGCCGTCTTAACTCGGTTCATATAGATTTGCGGTGGAGTGCGGGAAACGTGTAAACTCGGGCCGATTGTAACCGCGTATTACCAAATATTTGTTTGTTTGCCGTTCACAAAGATACCTACCTGCGTATGCGAACCGTTTCATACCCATTGGGGTAATAGGTATCATAAAAATCCCTTGTAAGTAGAGAACACTTTATGGCGCTGGTCGAGTACAATACCGTTAGGGTACCAATGTATTGTTTTCTCATTTTATAACCGATATCCCTGGATATCTCACCATGCAAAGAGAATAGTTATTGAGAAATACTTCTTGTGTCCGGACGTCTTTAGTTTTGAGTTTTGTGAACATTATTACGTGTTTAAATATTTAAATATATTGTGATAAAGACATTCATATAGAATTTTTTAACCAAATAAAATAAAATCGTTCCGCAAAGTGTTCGCATAATAATTATTTTTTTATATCAGATATCTATCGGAGTACCGCTATTTTCAGTTAGTATTATTTTTATTTGCTTTAACCTAGAATGTCGCAGCATTCAGACTATAGTGATGATGAGTTTTGTGCAGACAAGTTGTCCAATTATTCTTGTGATAGCGATCTTGAAAATGCGAGTACAAGTGATGAAGATTCTAGTGATGATGAAGTAATGGTGCGTCCCAGGACATTGAGGCGACGAAGAATTTCGAGCTCCAGCTCTGACTCAGAGTCAGATATAGAAGGCGGGAGAGAAGAATGGTCGCATGTTGATAATCCACCGGTCTTAGAAGATTTTTTAGGGCATCAAGGATTAAACACAGATACTGTTATAAATAATATAGAAGATGCCGTGAAATTATTTATCGGAGATGATTTTTTTGAATTTCTTGTAGAGGAGTCAAACAGGTATTATAATCAAAATAGGAATAATTTCAAACTTTCAAAAAAAAGCCTAAAGTGGAAAGATATAACCCCTCAAGAGATGAAGAAGTTTTTAGGGTTAATTGTTCTCATGGGACAGGTGCGCAAAGATAGAAGAGATGACTACTGGACCACGGAGCCATGGACGGAGACGCCATATTTTGGTAAAACGATGACGAGAGACAGGTTCCGACAGATATGGAAAGCTTGGCACTTCAATAATAATGCGGATATCGTAAATGAATCAGATAGACTTTGCAAAGTGAGACCAGTACTAGATTATTTTGTGCCTAAATTTATAAATATTTACAAACCTCATCAGCAATTATCACTAGATGAAGGGATCGTACCTTGGAGGGGAAGATTATTCTTTAGGGTATATAATGCTGGCAAGATCGTTAAATATGGAATATTGGTTCGTTTGTTGTGCGAAAGTGATACAGGATATATCTGTAACATGGAAATTTATTGCGGCGAAGGAAAGCGATTATTGGAAACGATACAAACAGTAGTGTCTCCATACACTGATTCGTGGTACCATATATATATGGACAATTATTATAATAGCGTCGCAAATTGTGAAGCACTTATGAAAAACAAATTCAGAATATGTGGAACAATCCGGAAAAATCGAGGTATACCTAAAGATTTTCAAACAATTTCTTTGAAAAAAGGTGAAACAAAATTTATAAGGAAAAATGATATATTGTTACAAGTGTGGCAATCAAAAAAGCCTGTATACCTGATTTCTTCGATTCATTCTGCGGAGATGGAAGAAAGTCAGAATACTGACAGAACATCAAAAAAGAAAATTGTCAAACCGAATGCACTCATTGACTACAATAAACATATGAAAGGTGTTGACCGGGCCGACCAATACCTTTCATATTATTCGATATTGCGGAGGACGGTCAAATGGACAAAAAGGTTGGCAATGTATATGATAAATTGCGCATTATTTAATTCTTATGCAGTTTACAAATCAGTGAGGCAAAGAAAAATGGGTTTTAAAATGTTTTTGAAACAAACAGCTATCCACTGGTTGACGGATGATATTCCAGAGGACATGGACATTGTTCCAGACCTTCAACCAGTACCGTCTACTTCTGGAATGCGGGCTAAACCACCTACATCTGATCCACCATGCAGGCTATCGATGGACATGAGAAAGCATACGTTACAGGCAATTGTCGGAAGTGGAAAAAAGAAAAACATTTTGAGAAGGTGTCGCGTATGTTCCGTTCATAAATTGCGCAGTGAGACACGCTACATGTGCAAATTTTGCAATATACCTCTACATAAAGGGGCGTGTTTTGAAAAATATCATACGCTAAAAAACTACTAATTTCTATTTGTTTTGATTTATTATGAAAATTTTATTTTCAACTTTAAAAATATGTGTATATTTTTAGGTAATAAGTATTTTTTGGGTTTTTCGTATTTAGTTTATATATATCGAATTATTTATGTACTGAATAGATAAAAAATGTCTGTGATTGAATAAATTTTCATTTTTTACACAAGAAACCGAAAATTTCATTTCAATCGAACCCATACTTCAAAAGATATAGGCATTTTAAACTAACTCTGATTTTGCGCGGGAAACCTAAATAATTGCCTGCGCCATCTTATATTTTGGCGGGAAATTCACCCGACACCGTAGTGTTAATAATTGTCTCTAGGCTCTTCAATAGTCACTTTTCTCTCAAGTGATTTGTTTTCCAACCCACCATTGCTCTATGTCTTCTGTCAGGCCAAAACCCATTATAATGCACTATCAAAATTAATTATTAATATTCTTCCAAAGCACACACTCATGTTAACCTCTTTCATGGACCTAGCCAACTTTCTACCTTTGTTTCTGCTGCTAACTATTCTGGGCTACTAGAAAAAAATATCGGGTCATAATCAACTGGTACTGTAACCTTATCAATTCTAAGTCTTTTTACAGATTGTTATGAATTGACTTTTATTCCCCTCAGCATGTTGTTTTTTAAAAAAATATATATTTTATTGATTTTTTACAGAGAGGGAGAGGGATAGTTAGAAACATCGATCAGCTCCCTCCTACACACCTCCTACTGGGGATGTGCCCGCAACCAAGGTACATGCCCTTGACCGGAATCGAACCTGAGACCTTTCAGTCCGCAAGCCGATGCTCTATCTACTAAGCCAAAGCGGTTAGGGCTCAGAATGTTTTTTAAAGGAAGTTATTATTTCTTTATAACAGTTTTTCTATTACTTGTGCTCAGTCTTCTCCTTCTAGTATCCCTATGATACAAATGTTGTTTTGTTTCATGGTGTCCCAAAGTTCCCTTAAACTATCCTCCTGATCTTCAATTTTTCCTTTTGCTGCTCTAATTGGTTTTTTCCCTACCTTGTATTTCAAGTCACTGATTCTATCTTCTGCCTCACTTAATCTACTTTTGATTCCTTCTAATGTATTCTTTATGTCAGATATTAATCTTCATTTCCAACTGATTCTCTTTTTAAAATATATTTTATTGATTTTTTACAGAGAGGAAGGGAGAGGGATAGAGAGTTAGAAACATCGATCAGCTGCCTCCTGCACACTCCCTACTGGGTATGTGCTCACAACCAAGGTACATGCCCTTGATCGGAATCGAACCTGGGACCCTTGAGTCCGGAGGCAGACGCTCTACCTACTGAGCAAAACCGGTTAGGGCCCAACTGATTCTTATTTATGGTTTCTATTTCCTGTTTCATGCTGTTGTAGTTCTAAGTTTCTGGAAATCACCACAAAGTTCCTTGATCATCTTTATAACCATTACTTTGAACTCTCAGTCACCCCTTCTCTTCATTCAAGTCATTTTATTTTGTTAATCCTCACTGAAGGATATTTTTCCATTAGTTTTTAGAGAGTGGAAGGGAGGTGGGAAGACAGAGAGAGAGAGAGAAACATAGATATGAGTCACAATGTTTGGTTGCCTCTCACACATGGCCTGACCAGGGCCAGCTATCAAGCCTGCAACTGAAGTACGTGCCCTTGACTGGAATCGGACCCAGAATCCTTCAGGGCATATGTGGGAGGAAGCTGGTTTGTTTGACTGAATTAAGAGATGACCCACCTTGTAAAACACAACTAAAAGCCTTGTTACAGTCTCAGTCAGCAAAACTATCCCAGAATTTATGTTCCCAGTTGTTATATGTTTGCCAAGAATAAATTTTGTTGGTCCCCTTCTGTCCTTTTTAAAAATTACATAATTAAATGAATAGGTAAAGTAGTATAAAGAACTGCTTCTAAAAATATGAGGCAAATATTTTAGAAAGAGATAAAAAAAACTAGGCATTTTTCAAGTGACAGAATTCTCTTGCCACTTTAAAGGTGGTTCAGAAGAAAACAATGATTTGGTATATGTTACTCAAGACTATCATGCTAATTTAAAGTTTCACTTTAAATGAAAAAGACTGATTATTGAACACATATTTAAGTCAAAATGTTTGCCTTTTATTGACAAATTATACATTTTTATTGATTTCAGAGAGATAGGGAGAGGGAAAGATAGAAACATCAATGATGAGAAAACCATCAATCAGCTGCCTCCTGCAACCACCCCACTGGGGATCAAACCTGCAACCTGAGGAAGGGGCCCTGACCAGGAATCCAATCTCGTGGTTCATAGATCAACACTGAATCACTGAGCCATACCAGCAGGCAATATATTTGCTTTTTAATAAATCCTCACTTCAATTCTCTACTGGTCCCAAATCATGGGATAAGAGACTCTAAATATGGCATATAGTCATTTTTATTTTATTTTTTTTTAAAATATATTTTATTGATTTTTTACAGAGAGGAAGGGAGAGAGAGAGAGAGAGAGTTAGAAACATCGATGAGAGAGAAACATCGATCAGCTGCCTCCTGCACATCTCCTACTGGGGATGTGCCTGCAACCCAGGTACATGCCCTTGACCGGAATCGAACCCGGGACCTTTCAGTCCGCAGGCCGACGCTCTATCCACCGAGCCAAACCGGTTTCGGCGGCATATAGTCATTTTTAATATGTAACATGTATTTATTGATTTCAGAGAGGAAGAGAAAAGGAGAGATAGAAACATCAATGATGACAGAGAATCATTTCTTGGCTGCCTCCTGCACCCCCCTACTGTGGATAAGCCCCCAACCCCACATGTGTTCTGACCAGGAGTCAAACCCTGACCTCCTTGGTTCATAGGTCAATGCTCAGCCACTGAGTCACAGCGGCCAGGCATTAATAAATATTTTTAAGTATTGATGATGAAATGTGTAAAGATGAATTAAAGGATGGTTGTCTGTCATAAACTCCTTGGCATATCACAAGGAATGGCTGGTAGCACTAAATCCTTAGTGGTGGTTGAATGGATAGGAGGAAATAAAGGAAAGTAGTAGGACAGCTAAGAATTTCTACTACACAGAAATCTTACCTGGATCTTCAGCTATAAATAGAAATCTGAAGTTTATAAAGGAAATAAGAAAAACAAATGCTAGACTCATAAACTTTAGTTTCTTCCCCTTCTATTGGTATTTCCCAATACCATCTCTTTTGTCATTAAGTAGCACAGTATTTGGGGTCTTTAGAACTCTAAATTTTGTCTTCCCACCCAATGCTAACCATCCACTATACCTGTTTTTGGATGTGCTCCTTGACCTTCTACCTCTCTCTCTGGAATGAGATCTTCTCCGTCTGGGACTTTTGGATCGTCGCCTACTCCTTGACTTAGAATGTGACCTCCTTCTAGATCTGCTTCTTGACCGCCTAATGAAAGAAAGCCAATACACATACTTAAATAGAAAAGGTTAGTTGTGTTTATGACTATATCACTTAGTATCAGATAGAAGACTTATAAACTTCATTAAGTGGGGACAATTTACTACCAGTTGCTATCATTATTTAGTCCATATAATAAACATTTTTATTACCCTAGAAATATGAATACCTTTTGTTGAAACTATCAAACTAGTCCTATGTCCATTGAATCTACAACAGCAAATGTAAAAATACTGCTAGAGCATGAAAAAAAAAAGATCAAATTAAAAAAAAATACCTGAATGATTTGCATTATCTTACTCAGTATATAGCACCTTAGCATGTTTATTGATTCCTCACTATTGCATGTTAAATCTATCAATTACCAAATACTCATATATGCTTATTACATGCTTTACAAATACTCATAATGAGCCTATAATGTAGGTACCATTATTACTCCCATCTTATAAATGAAACCACTTAGTGTTGCTTCTATAATTTCTAATTTTTGTTCTCTAAAATATATCCTACTTCTTTAATTTGCAATTTAAGAACAATGCAGGCCTTCCTTATACAGATTTATATAATTCAGTACAAACTGCCTTATTCTCACTACCATTCCTTCCTGTCATGTAAAAGAAATGTCTCTGTACCCTCTTCATTCCACTCCTCCCCCCAAACCTACAGTTTCTTTCTCTCCCAGAATTTAAGTAAAATTAACCCTATTGATGTTATCATTAATCCTCCTTCCTGTAGTTTATTCCCTTCTACATTAAGATTAAAAATAAACTGCAATATTTTGCTTAGACTTAAATCATTTAACTTTTAGTGACCATTCAACCTTTCTCTGAAAATTTTCAAATGTATTCTAAACCTTTTGCCTTCACGTTTTCAAGGTGCCAAAGGACGGACATTTTATAAATGGAAATTATCTCATTTATAAGCCAGCTAACAACTGAGTGCATTCATTAACTAACCTCTTTCAGCCTACTACTTTAGCAAAGAAAAATAAAAGCAATTCCATTACAGAACAGTTGTAATTTAAAAGGAATTAAAAAACTCAGCACTCTGGCCTTAGTATAAGTATGTACATTAAATATTGACCCTCTTCTTCTTGCTTATGTATTAACAAAATTTCTGTTGCCATCATTCTCTAAAATAGCTGTTTCAAAATTCATCACTGGTGTTTCATCAAATCCAACGAATTTTTATTTTAACCATCTTATATTTGACCATATTATGCAACTATTTACTAAAACATTTCCCTCTTAAAAACATGTCTATATCCTAGAAAATTTTCATGTAATGGTTACCTTTTTGTAAGTTCCATAAGGACAGGAAGTGTGTATATCTTACTGACCACGAACCCTTGAGAAATTACTAATGTGTCTGACTTAAATGAAAGGTATGAATATAGGGTGTCCCCCCAAAATGTATACACACACTTTGAATAATTGCAAAGATTTTTTTGGGGACACTGTATTTTGATTCTGATATAAAATATCAGATTCCTCACTTTCTTTAAAAAAAATATTTTAAATATATTTTATTGATTTTTTTTACAGAGAGGAAAGGAGAGGGAGAGTTAGAAACATCGATGAGAGAGAAACATCGAACAGCTGTCTCCTGCACACTCCCTACTAGGTATGTGCCCGCAACCAAGGTACATGCCCTTCATTGGAATTGAACCTATTCACTGAGCCAAACTGGTTAGGGCAAAAAAAAAAAAAAAAAAAAAAAAATAAAAAAAAATAATAATAAAAAAAAATATATATATATATATTTTTTTTACCATTGACAGTATTACAGATGTCCTCCATTTCCTCCCCATGTCTCTCCCCCTGCCCAGGCTTTCACCACACTATTGTGCGTCCATGGGCTGTGCATATGTCTCTCCCCCTGCCCAGGCTTTCACCACACTATTGTGCGTCGCTACGCCTCCCATGGGCTAATCTAATAATAGGCAAACATGGTAATTGACTGTACCTTCGCTACGCCTCCCATGGGCTAATCAGCACGGTATGCAAATTAATCGCCAACAAAGATGGCAGCTAATTTGCATACTGCAGACAGGGCGGGACAGCGCCATCCCGCCTGCCCTGCTGCCTTCCGGGCCTGCTATCTGCGACCTGGAGCGGCCGGGTGGGGCAGCAGCGATCCCCCGCCCACCCAGGCGTCCCGTGTGCGACCCGACGTGGGGAAGCAGCGATTGGTCGGCCCGCCTGGGCGTCCCGTGTGCGAGACCCGGGGAGGCGGGGCAGGCACCGAGGGATCAGGCCTGCCATCTGCCACCCGGGAAGTGGGCTTAAGCCAGCAGGTGGTTATCTCCCGAGGGGTCCCAGACTGTGAGAGGGCACAAGTGGGGTTAAGGGATACCCCCTTACCCCCCCCCCCCATGCACAAATTTTTGTGCACCGGGTCTCTAGTAGTATATAAGTTCTTTGGTTTATCTCTTTTCTGTCACACACCCTCTGAGGTATGTCAGTATGTTCCATGTCTCCATGGCAGGGGACTTATTTTGTTGGTCAATTCATTTTGATTCTACAATCCTTTTAGCTAAGTTGAATCACATTTTTCCTGCTTTTGTATGTGTATAGAAAAAATATAGATGCAGAAAAGAAAACCATATGCCCATTCTTACACAGGTTTTTTCCTAAACAAAGTGATTAATAATAGTTCTTAAAAAGCCAATAAACAGAAGTACCACATCAATCTATTATAAGGTCCTGAAACAGTTATCTTTCAAGAATAATGTACTACAGAGCCATTTTAACACACTAGTTTATACGAGCTTTTAAAAATCACAAAAATAGAGACTTGTATATAATGTATCTAAGTAAAAAAGCTTATTGAAAGAAATGGCCAATTTTATATGCTAGGATGCTTAAGATATTACAAGCTATAATAATTATCTGTTATGAAGTGTTATTACAAGTGTCCAAAACACTTTGTTCAAGGAAATACATGCTTCACTGTTATTTCCCATTAATCATACATATCAAAGTAATTCAAACTAAATTTTGAGAGCCCTGGGATGTACTTGGTACTATATGTAAAAAACATAGGTTTTCCTTTTTAAGTGTTAAAACTAAGCTATAAGAGCACCGACCTGAAAGATAATGGAATTCTAAGTAGTATCAACACTGCATGTAAGAACAAAGAAAAAGGGGTTCCTCAAGTGGAAATGAAGGTATCAGAAAGAGCATTAGGAACATCAAGAGCAAAAACTTGAAAGCATAAAGAAAATGATTATATTCAGGTAAGCATTGCTGCGGTTAACTGTTTTGGAGTGGTAAATGACAAGTGTGAAAAGAAAAACTAGGTTGAATAGTAAAAAAAACCCTAAATGCCACTCTAAGGTTTAACACCTTCAGGCAATAGGGAACTTCTCAAGGTTTAATAGGTTGTGATATGATTCTAATTTAGGTTTTTAATAGACATCTTTAGGAAGAATAAAACAGGGTGGGGGAAGATAGGTAAAAGGAAATCAGACAGTTATACCACATGTTAATATTTTGCTATGGACTGAATGTTTGTGTCCCTCCCAAAATTCTTATGCAAAGCTTAATCTCCAATGTGATATTTTAATGTGGGGTCTTTGGGAGGTAATTAGGTCAAAAGGGTGCAGCTTTCATGATTAAGAATAATGTCCTTTTTGAAAGAGATCTTAGAGTCCCCTTGGCCCATTACAATATGAGGACACAGCAAAAAGATAGCCCATTATAAATAATAGGTCCTCATTAGATACCAAATTTGCTGGCACCTCGATCTTGGACTTCTCAGCTTCCAGACCAGTCACAAACAAATCTCTATAGGTTATAAGCCACCCAGTTTATAGTATTCTGAGTAGAGGAAGACACTGGATGAGAAATGACTTGATAATGTCATGGGGTCCATGAGGCCAAAATTATTTTCAAAATAGTAAGATATTATTTGTCTTTTTTACTGTGTTGATATTTGCACTAATGGTAAAAGTGCTGGAATCACCTTAGCACAAACAAAGGTAGTGGCAACTGAATTGCCCTAGTAGTCACTGTATTCTTCACAGGCACTTGTAGTAAGTACTAGCAGTAAAATAAGAAATAAAAATGTCACTCCCCATATGGAAGTGCACTGACCATCAGGGGGCAGCTCCTGCATTGAGCATCTGCCCCGGGTGGCCAGTGCGTATCATAGCAACCGGCCATTCTGCCGTTCAGTCAATTTGCATATTAGGCTTTTATTATTATTACTAGAAGCCTGTTGCACGAAGATTCGTGCAATAAGCCTTCCTTCCCCTGGCTGCTGGCATCGGTTTTCCTCCGGCACCCAGGATCCAGGCCTTTGGTCCGGCCACAGCGAGGCTTGGCTTCTCCACTGCAGCCGCAGTGGAGAAACCAAGCCTCTTCAATCTTCAGTCTTCGCCTGCATATGCAAATTAACTGCCACCTTTGTTTGGTTAATTTGCACAGTCGCTATGATTGGCTGGTGGGTGTAGCGGAGTGACACCAATTTGTATGTTTCTCTTTTATTAGTGTAGATATAGGATGTCCCTATTTCCCTTTTGCCCCCTCTACCCAGCTCTTGCCCCCCACTTCTCTCTGGCCATCACCATACTGTTGTCTGTGTCCATGGATTGTGCGTATATTTTCTTTGGCTAATCCCTTCTTTAAATTTTTATTTTCAGATAAGTGCTTATAACTGCACTATTATATATTTTCTATATCATTTAGAATTAAGATATTTTTTAATTGAACCCTTGTAAATTTTAGCACAATTTAATAAATTATGCTAGAAGCAATTAGGAGATTTTTCATGTAATGCAGATACATTTCAATTAATATTTTATTAATTTTTAATTTTTAATATTTTAATTTGAAATAATCTCATGCATGTAAAACAACACTATAAAATACTACAGCATATATTACCCTTCACCCAATTTCTTAGGTGTTAATAATTTAAACAACCATTATACAACTATCACAATTTGGAATATATTTTTCTTATAATCTCTTTAATGTTACTTAATCCATTTACTGTGTTTTTGTTAATCTTCACCCAAGGATATCTTTCCATTGAATTTTAGAGAGAGTGAAGGGAAAGGGAGAGACACATTGATTGGTTGCCTCCTGCACATGCTCTGATAGGGACTGGTGATCAAGCCAGCAACTGAGGTACATGCCCTTGACTGGAATCGAACCTGGGACCCTTCAGTCCAAAGGCTAATGCTCTATCCACTGAGCAAAACAGGCTGCAGCTTAATTCATTTACTTTTAATCTATATGTGTCTTTTTATTTAAAGTGGGTTTTGTTTTTGATTCACCCTCATAATCTGTCTTTTAATTGGTGCATTTATGCCACTGACTTTCAGAGTGCTTACTGATAGTTACTGCCATATCTGGCGGCTTCTGGGGCCCGCCAGCGGCCCGGGACCAATCTGGTCCCAGGAGGCAGGCAGGCAGCTCCTGGGGCTTTCGGGGCCAGCCTGCCTATGGCCCGGGACCGGATTGGGTCCCGGGCGGCAGGCAAGTGGCTTCTGGGGTCACCCATGGGGGCCTGGATGGCGGCTTGCGCTGTCCTGCCTGCCTGCAGTATGCAAATTAGCCGCCATCTTTGTAGGTGGTTAATTTGCATATCTCGCTGATTAGCCAATGGGAGGTGTAGTGAAGGTACGGTCAATTACCATGTTTGGCTATTACTAGATAGGATACCGTAAATGGGAGATGGCGATGTAACCACGAAACGACTTATGTCGAGTCCTACGTAACCCGAGGACTGCCTGTATAAAGTTCTGAGCTTTTAAGAAAAAATTTTGGAAAACTTGAACCCACCATTTTGAACTGACAGCATTTTCTGATGAGATTTGTGGTGGTAGCACCAAATGCCATTTTTGTTGTCATATAACAAAACATGTCAACATCTGAAAACTTGCATAAAGCAATGAATTGATTATTTTGCAAATCGCCAACGCACAATTTTACAAAAGGATGCTTGGGAAAAAGATTCATTCAAAGTTTAAGAGAGTATGAAAGGTTCATTTATGGTTTCAGATTCCCTACTGCAGCTATCTTTTAAGAAACTATCACAGGTCAAGTTTTGGTGGTATATCAAAGAACACTAGTTGCAGTTTACTTGGAAAAAAGTACAACTTTTTCCTTTTCCAACGATGTTTTTGTGAAGCCAGATTTTCTCCTCCCACCCCCCCCTATATATATGTGCGTGTGTGTGTGTGTGTGTGTATATATATGTTTTTTAATCCTCACCCGAGGATATTTTTTCCTATTGATCTGTAGAGAGAGTGTGGAAGGAAGGGAGGGGAGCAGGAGCAGGAGAGGGAGAGACATCAACATTGACATCGATGTGAGAGACACATCGACTGGTTGCCTCTCATTTGCACTCCGACCAAGGCTGAGGATCAAACTTGCAACTAAGGTACACGTCCTTGACTGGGAATCAAACTTGTGACCTTTTGGCTTGCTGGCTGATGCTCTAACCACTGAGGAAAACCAGTCAGGGCAGATTTTCTCTATACTACCAAAATTTATTGAACGTAGAATCTTGTGTGTCTATATTATAAATGTTAAAGAGATTTGCAAAAAGTACAACAAAGTCACTCTTCTAATTTTTTCTTTAAAAAGTTTAGTTTTGCTTGGCTGGTGTGCCTCAGTGGTTGAACGTCGACCTATGAACCAGGAGATCATGGTGAGATTCCTGATCAGGGCACATGCCCAAGTTAAGGGCTCCATCCCCAGTAGAGGGCGGGAAAGAGGCAGCCAATCGATGATTCTCATTATTGATGTTTCCATCTCTCTCCCTTTCCCTTCCTCTCTGAAATCAATAAAAAAACCATATATTTTTAGAAAGTTAGTAGTTTCTAAGTTGTGTTAACATGAATGGGTTTACTGTCATTTTAAAATTTTAATATGGCCACCCTAGCTGGTTTGGCTCAGTGGACAGAGCGCCGCCGGCCTGCGGACTGAGGGGGTCCCAGGTTCGATTCCGGCCAAGGGCACATGCCCAGGTTGTGGGCTTGATCCCCAGTGGGGGGTGTGCATGAGGCAGCCAATCAATGATTCTCTCCTCATGTTTCTATCTCTCCCTCTCTTCCTCTCTGAAATCAATAAAGATATATTTAAAAAAAATTTTTTTTAATATGGCCTACATTAATAGCTATGATCAATATAATCAAACACTATTTGGGGTTCACATATTTTCTATTAAGTATAAAGAGGTCCTAATACCAGCAAGTTTGAGATCTACTGGTCTAGCAAACCTTACAAATTTATACAGGGATGTCATGTGGAAAAGGCAATAAATTTATTTAGTCTTACTCTAGATATGATAAAAAGTTATACAATCATTTAATTTATCCAGTAATACAAAAAACAATCTCAAAAGAACAGCAAGTCGTGTCATTTGCAAATATTCATGCATTAGAGAATCAATCTATAGGTTGCATGATGACCTTCCAACTTAAGTCTTAGGAGAGACTAGTGAAAAGGAAAACTAGAATTCAAGTCAAAGTTTCAAGTAAGGGTCTTCCCATAGTACTAATTTAGTGCTCAAGTCCCAGTGCCTTCCTCCTGCCCCTGAATGTTTTTGGGTTTTAAAGTACCAATCACCTACTTTAGCCCATACCTTTTTTCCATTTATGCATGTGTGAACGATTATTTACACACTCTGCTAACAGGATTGGTTACTAAAACACAGTTTAACCAGAAGCTGCAAGGTGAAGAGTCAGTAAATTATGAAGGATGTGGCATACCGAATTTATCTTTGTACAACTGAATACCAAAAGCAATCTATCTAACCTGTGTCTAGAAGATGAAGGAGTCCTCCTCCTCCTAGAGCGTGATCTTGATCTTGAGTGCCTTCGTTTTTCTTCTTTTTTATCTGGATTTAAAAGAAAATAAATCTGGATTTTAAAACCATTAAATAGATTAATCTGATTCAGGAATTAATGTAATCCCATTTAGGAATTGCATAAGAATTTCATTATCTTAATTTTCAGCATTTACATAAATTCCTTAAATATTACAAGTGATCATTTTACAATCAAAACTTTGAAGCTTATTGAAGTGACACAAATTATCCAGGGTTTTGATAGATTCAAATTAGACTTCTGATTTTGGCTAGCCAAACTGACAATTTCATTTTCTAGACTCAGGAGTCTGATAAGTGTTGTTCATAAAATAATCTATGAACAGTTATCTTTTTCACCCTTCATTCTTTAAAGTTTTATAAACAAGGAGTCCCTTTTACCACTCCTAGGTACTACTTTCACAAATTTCACTACATTTCACTGAGATTAATATGTTAACCCTTTGGTCCATGGGCAAACATTCTAACCACTGAGAAAACCAGCCATAGCCTCATAATCTGTCTTTCCTCTTCCTCACCAATGTTTAACTGTGTCGAGGAAATAGATCTAGAATGATTTGTCCCATTTCCTAGTTTTTAAATAACACATAACAAGAGAAATAAAGCCATTACACTTATGAACAATCATCTCAGTGAGAATGAGTCCTCTTTCACATTCAGAGCCTTTAACAGAATTCAAATTACTGTTAATGTCATTATTAATAACCACTTTTAGTCATTCTGATTATAAGTTTTCTCTGAACACAATTACAGCATGGTGTTCTAGCTTTGGTTTCAGTGATCCAGTTGTGTACTGAAAATATCAGGTCCTGTTTGACATGTCACCTTGGGACAACGTTTTGTTAAATGAGGTAACACACATAAAGCACCTAGTACTAACTCATCCAATATTGTATATAAATTATTTTTCAAAAGCTCTACCTACTAAAAATTCTTCCTACTTACTAAGAAATAACAGTGAAAAATAAAACAATATTTAATGGGGGAATCAAAGATTGAAACACAGGCCAACAGTAGGATAACCATTCATTCCATCTCAAAAAATAATCTGCAAAAAATAAGGTCTGCTTTTCTTTAAACAAATGGCATCAACAGAAGCATCATCTCTTGGTCAAATAAAAGACTAAAATCAATTAGGCTATCCCCATATAACAAACATGAATGATAAAAAACCCCAAACTATAAATTAAAAAACAAACAAAAAAATCACACTAATTATTTGATAATCCTAGGCTCTACTAACATTTAGGAATGGATCATTTGAAGCAGGGGTGGTGCCTGTCCTGTATGGTGAAGGATGTTTAGCAATATCCCTGACCCTCTGCCCACGAGATACATTTGGTACCAGCAAAACAACTAAGTGTCTCTAAATATTTCCAAGTATGTCTGGGTGTCAACTACAACCCGCCCCCCCCAACACCCCTACTGAAAATCACTCCACTAAATGATCTTCTATTAGAATTTGAAAAATTTAAAAAATGACTAGAGTATTAAGTCAAAAACTTTTCAAACTAATGCACGAATCCTATTTGCAAACAATCATGTAGTTTAATATTCAACACAAGTGCATTAACATATTTTACCTGGTTCTATGGCAGCAGATATTAGGGACTGTGCTTCTCGTACTCTCTTCATGGCTTCCTCTATTTCTTTACTAGAGGTATCTGATTTCAGACTTGGTGAAACAAGACCAGCAGCTACATGATTCAACCTGAAACAGAACCAAGAATTGAGATAGGAAACATTTTAAAATGCACAACAGCATTTCAAGTAAATATGTTTCATATAACATTTTAGTAAGACATTCCTTGGGAAAAAAGGGGAGAATTCCATTTTTTTTTTTTTTTGGTAAAACCATACATAGTATAAGTACCCTTTTGAATATTTAAATGCCACCTGCATTTTAAAGACTCAGGATATCTGAAATAAGAAAAATGCCTTCTTAAACCTGAATGAACATTCATCCGATTTCCATAAACACATTTTGTGAAATGCTAGTACATGGAAATATGCTAATGCTAAAGATTTTTGAATAATGAAACTTTTCTTCATATGACTTAAAAACTTTCTACATCGTAATTCTGTTGGGGAAGAGCATTTTAAGTGTGTGGAAGAAACTGGGGCAGAGGCTGATGGCACACCAAAGTTACTCATGAAATTCCTGATCGGAAAGGCTAAAGATGCACTTTTAAAGGGTTTATACATGTGAGAAAAAATTAGACACCAAATTTAGGACAGTAGTCATTTGTGGGGAGAGTGGGAAATGTAAATAAAAATGGGTACGAAGCAATTTCAACTTTATTGATATTTCATTTTATAAGCTGGGTGACAGGTACTCGCTTGAACTTTATCTCGTTTTTAAGAAAAAAGTCCACAAAGTACTACAGCAAAATAATCCTGTCTTCCCTTTTCCCATACTCTTCCACTTATTGATAGTGACTTCCACCAAGGAGAAAAAGGTTTCAGTTCAAATTTAACATACTGACAAATTACAATGAAAGTAACTATGACTTTGTTTTATGTATACCAAGTAGGAAGTAGAAAAGTGACAGCATGAAGAGAACTTTTCAAAGCACCTAAAAGATGTTGGACATTATTATGGTGACATATGCCAGTCCTTGGCTCTAGGATTGTTTTTCCCTCATTTATGTCTCCTAACTCCTATTCATCCCCTAGGGCTTAGCTTCTCTGATCTTCAAACTAAGTTCTTGTAATAAGTTCTTTCCATAGCACCCCTGTACTTCATCTAGTTGGATCCACATGCTTTAAATAACATCTCCCCTCCAAACTAGTGTATAAATGCTATAAAGATACAACTTTATAGTAGGCATTCAATATGTACTTTAAACGAATCAACTAAAAATAGTGTTTAGCTCTTTCCCCATTATTTTGGTATAAGTTATTTACAATTATTTTGAAATACTCAAATTACACTAAGACAAAATCCTCTTATTGATGGACTCACCACTGGATTTTTCTGTTTCTAGAAAACTGAATTACGTATTGCATGCCCTGAGATAACTTTCTTTTTAGCTATCAAAACACTGTTCTCTAGACATTCAAATACTATATCCATATCATCAATGGAAACACAGAAAAAAACCTTACTTGGGATCAACAGTACTCATAAGCTTCAGCAACTGATCTGCAGCAAGAGACTAAAAAAAACCAAACACAAAATATAACAACAGTGAGAATACATAAAGCAATAATGATTTCCTCTTATTATTCTCAGGATGTTGAAATGTCCTAGGAGACCCTGGCAAACCTACAAAAAGTAACATACCAGGCACATCAATGACCAACAGAAATACAATGCCAGTCGAATGTCAGTTAAGTTTTCTAGTAGCCACATTAAAAAAATAAAACAAAAAACAGATGACATTAGTTACTATAGTATTGATTGGATACTCAAAGGTGCTTTACCCAAGTTAAATATCCTATACTAGAGGCCCGGTGCACGAAATTCCTGCACTGGGGGGGGGGAAGGGGGAAGAGGGTGTCCTCTCAGACCTGCCTGTGCCCTTTCAGTCTGCGAGCCCTTGGGGGATATCCAACTGATGAAAGCGCACTGACCACCAGGGGGCAGCTCCTGCATTGAGCGTCTGCCCCGATGGTCAGTGCATGTCATAGTGACTGGTCGTTCTCCGCTGGACCAAAACTGGCTCTCCGACATCCCCTGAGGGGTCCCAGATTGTGAGAGGGCACAGGCCAGGCCAAGGGACCCCACTGGCGCATGATTGCGGCTGGGGAGGGACCGAGGGAGGGCTCCAGGGTGTGTCTGGCCTGTCTCGCTCAGTCTCGAATGGCTGGACCCCAGCAGCAAGCTAACCAACCAGTTGGAGCATAATAAAAGCCTGATATGCTAAGTGTCTGGTCACCCAGTTGGCCGTTCAACCAATCAAAGTATAATATGCTAATAATATGCTAAGACCGCTCAACCATTCACTATGATATGCACTGACCACCAGGGGGCAGATGCTCTGACTGGTAGGTTAGCTTGTTGCTGGGGTCCGGCCGATAGGGACTGAGCGAGATGGTCCGGACATACCCTGGAGCCCTCTCTCGGCCCCTCCCCGGCTGGCCAACCTCCTGTGAATTCGTGCACCAGGCCTCTAGTGAAGATTATAAAACTGAGCAATCTACTTTTTATAGAAAAACTAGAGGCCCAGTGAACGAAATTCATGCACTGGTAGGGTCCCTAGCCGCTGCCGGTTTCCAGCCAGGGCCTCCCTCCCTTCCCTTGGCCAGCCCTGTCCCCACCCCCGGTCATACTCCCGGAAGAACTCAGGTTGAGGGGACAATTTGAAAACGCTTTTATTATACAGGATTACCTCCTGCTTATTTAAGACTTTATGAGGGAAAGTAATGCTTAAAAGAAACATGTAAAACACAACTCAAAGTACTTAGCCAATATAATAAATCAAAATATTTTCACAAAGGATGTCCAAAAAGGTTCAGCCAAATTACAATGCGAGAAAATTTCCAAGTGAGCAAATGACAGAAAAAAAAAGTCTCCATAACATATGATGTGTTCAATTCCTGTGAAACTACTCTCTACTTTGAACTATGTAAAATGAAAAATTTTTGCCTTGGCCAGGTGGCTTAATTGGTTGGAGCATTGTCCTGTATACCAAAAAAAGTTGCAGATTCGATTTCTGGTCAGGGCACATAACCTAGGTTGCAGGCTGGATCCCTGATTAGGGTGCACACAGGAGGCAACTGAGTGATGTTTCTCTCTCTCTAAAAGTCAAGAACAAAAAATCCTTGGATGAGGACTAAAAAAATAAAATAAAATAAAATTATATAAAGTAAAATTCTTTACTGGGTTAATAGGCTAATAATGCAGTGACCTTTTAAATCTTTTTAACAAGACTATATGAGAAAAAATACTACACCATAGTAATTAGTTATCTCCCACTTTTTAAATGCCCAGTAGTTACAAATAAAATAAAGTCTATAATTATAATGAGCTCAAAGTTGAAGGGTATTAAATTATACCTGAGAGTTCAAGTTTGCTCCAGGAAGCCCAAGTGCAGCAAGGGTAGGAGCTCCCAAAGCAGCCAATGGAACAGCGCCAATCTGTGAAATTACAAATTTTATTTAAAATTTCATTTGTTCCTTAGAGTGTGTGTGTGTGTGTGTGTGAGAGAGAGAGAGAGAGAGAGAGAGAGAGAGAGATGTGTCTGTGGAGGTCGTCACCTTATTTTGCCCTCTAAAGGGCAAAGAACTAAGTTTAAGTCCATAGGCTATGTGATCTCTGTTGCAACTACTTGACTTTACCATTATAGCCTGAAAACAGGCATATACAACAAACAAATGGACATAGTTTGCCTACCTCTGGGCTCACTTTCCACCTGTCATTATAGCACATTTATCCCTACAATCAGAATTTAGGGGAAAAAATTCAATATATTCTTGTGCCAATCAAAAATATTTGTTTCTTAGCTCCAAATCCAGTTCTTTGCCCTGTTTTGTGATATTGAAGGTAGCATTTCTCCATTGACAGATGGAATCTTAAAAGCTTTATCTACTGGGGGATAAAGAACTGGAATGACATTGTGAAATGGATTTTTCTTCCTTATTTCTATGTTCCCTTTTTGATTGTTACTGTAGCACCATATGAAATACCCAGTGGCCTTCACCTCTCAGAAAGTTGCAGAGCCATCTTCTTGGGGGCAGCTACCTAACAAGTTCTGTGGCACCCTGGGAAACTTCTCTAGCATCCAACCCTTTCAAAGTTCTGAATTTTATGCCAGGAGCGTTGCAAAGCCCTTTCATCTAAATGTGTTTTTTCCCCAGGGCTGAAGAAGTAATGGTTGCTTCCTATATCTGCAATTTATGTAATCTTACAGTTCCCTTAGTAAGGTCCAGTTACAAGTTACTAATTCCTTATACTAAACTCTCACTGTTCAAATTACTGTGTGATTATGTCTCCTGTCCAATATAATTCTGGTAGCTTTGAAGGCAGTTTGACCTTCTCTATAAAAGCTCTCCTAGCTTCCAATTAATTTTTAATAAATATAAGGTTCCAAATTTTCTGTGATTTAACTATTTACTAAGTACAGTTAAAAAACTGTGTTAATACTATTATATAAGCTATTTCGGCTTTTACACAATTTTATACATCAAAGTTGTCTACAAATTTCTCAAGGTCCACATTTTATATGTGACAATCAAAGTCATACTCATAAAAGCTGGGAATTCCTGATCTCATTCTCCTTCATAATACCATACTGTTCACTTAACAGTTAACTAAACTATTTGGACAGGCAAAATATTTAATAAAAGGAATGTTATAAAGTTCTAGTTGAGGCTCTATCATTTGCTTTATCTGTGAAACCACTGACCAGTTACAGTCTTTCTGAGTTGTTTCAATACATAACATTTAAAGAACCTTTTGCCTCTATAATGATATGCTTTTTATATTACCAAGTAAATTTTTCTCCAACTTGAATATTTTATTCCCCATATCAAATATATATCCACAAATACATTTTTATTTCAAGACACCTACTTAATTCAAAAGATCAAAAAACATTGGTAAAGAAACAAGTCTGAAATTCAGCTTTATTTTCTTTCCTGGTTAAAACAAACTATGCTCCACGAAATTTTTTTCACATTACTGAGTTATTCTGAATCAGTGGCAAAACCAATGTAACAGATATTCTTAAAATGCAAACTTCTAAGAGATTCTCTTTAGGATTTATGATTGCAATAGCCTTTAATATCATAAACACATGGTATCATTCTGTGAACTAGAATCACAATACTTAAAAAGCTCAAATATGTTTAGCTTTATCCACAATTCTGTGTTCCTTTCTATCCTTTAAGATTTCAATAGAACTAGTACCTGGGTAAGTGGGTTAGGAGTAGGCAGGAGTCCACCACCAGGCAGAAGACCTGCCACTGCATTAGCTGGTGCCAACAGAGACAAAGCCTTAGTCTCATCAGGAATAACTCCTGCAGAGAAACATCCTTGCATTAGAACACACCCTTTTGCAAGACAGAAAACACACAAAAACACCCAGAAAATGTCTCCCTGATACACCACCTGAGTTTGTTGAAAGTACTTATGTTCGCTAAAATATAAAGCTTGATTTCTATTATTATTTATCATTAACTTTATGTCAGAATGAAACTTCAATGTGTGAAAGTTTGTTTCCTTTTTTTCTCTACAAATGGTTAAGTTTCTAGAGTAAAAAAAAATAGCACAATACACACTACTTTTTTGTTAACACTGCCAAGATTTCATCACCTGTACTCGATTTTTAAGTCATGAACCAAACGTAAGCAAGCACAGTCGGTTCTCCAGGGGTGTGCTCTCAACTTTCAAAAGCTGTTTTATGAACAACGACTCGTGTCGGCTGCTTCACTATAAAGCACACAGAAAAATCAAGATACACAAGACAAAAAAAGTTTGATTTAGGGGTTAATAATATGGTACAGTTACTATGATTTTCTTTTACACCTACCATACAAATTTTGTAAAAATTAAGAGAAGGAAAGTATGTAAAGGAAATATTCTGTTGGAATCAAGTGTAGGGCTTTTGCTGACTCATGAAAATGAATGTTTCTGAAGGTCTCTGAATACACACTGGATGTGTGTGGGGGAGTAAGAGAGAGAGAGAGAGAGAGAGAGAGAGAAGGGGTAAAACAACATGGCACATTCCTTACCTGTACAGTAAAATGCTTTATATTCCAGCATGTGCCATGCTAACCATACCAAAAAATGCTGCTATACAGTGTGAGTTCAAAAGCTAACTTAAGCAAACTCCTAAAGTCGAAAACAACATGTATATCTGTTTTTAAAGCCTAAACTGTGTATTCAGATAACATCTAAGGGTCCTAAGACAAATATTTATGTACACAATTTAAATTCTATCCAACAGCAAAAGCCCTATACAGATGGATTAATCTGTTAATGTGCCCAAGCCCCCAAAATGAGAGTTCAATAATACAATTAAACTATATATTTGCAAATACCAGTAGTATTTCTGTAATACATATTAAGAAACTGCATCTCATCATAAAACATACAATATGTACAGGGCACTTAAGAGAAACTGGATAAGCTGCAGAAGAAAACTGTTGGGTGGTATTTTCAGCAGGGCCTGGTATATAGTTCAGGCTGAACCAGGGAAAAGAACTGTAAAACACAACAACAAAAAAGAAAAACCACTGTTAAATAAAGGTAATGGTTCCTTCCACCTATACTGAGAAGTGCCGATAATATAAACAAATGTATACTACACAGCACTGTTATCTTGCTTGTGTCAGAGCTGTCATCAATTTAGATACCCAGAGTTATGGAGGGGGGGAGGGGAGGGAGAAGATCATTTAGATATAGGGCATTAATGCATCAATATTAACAAACCTACAAAGATTATGGGATAATCTTGCATGCAAAATTATGTCTCAAGAGGATAATATTAAATATCAACATCTTATTCAAATTAGTGCATTTGCAACATTTCTGGCAAACTACAATCCTCTTGAATTTATTGTGAGACACCTGATAGAAGATCTGCATCCATTAAAAAAAAGTCATGCATCTGATCCTCTGATTAAAAAAAGACTATTTGAAAATAAAACTACAATTTAAAAATAGCAATGAGGCCCCTCACCAGTTAATTTTCATGCGTCAAGAGTATTTTTTTTACTGCTGCTTTGATAGAACCATGAAATACTGCATGAATGTGTAGAAATGAAAGAAAAAGAAACAGACAAAAGAAACAAACATTAACCAAGGAACCTAAATAACCCCCAAATCCATTACTATTAAGAGCTCCTTCCAAATCCAGCTATCTCAGTTTTACCAATTAAGATTATTCCTTACCGTATACTTTGTGTCTATTGTTCTAAAACATGATCAAGAAGCAACACCAAAGTGTCAAAGCTAAAACTAGGGTGAATGGTGACAAATGGATTGAGTACATCAGTTATTTAGTGGAGATAACATTAATACAGCATACCATACCATTATTAAATACACTAAAAATAGATTCCAGAAGTATTTTGGTAATTCCACATACACTCCTAAATATTTCTCTTTTGAAACAGATTCAGAAAAATTACCATATTCTAAAAATATTTATAAAAGCCAATTATATGATGATATACTGTATTATGTCCAGGGCTCGGGAACTATGATATAAAACTTAGCCAATAAGAATTATTTAAATTTAAAGGCTAATGTTTTGCACATTACTCACATGATTTGACCCTTGTTCCAAAAACTATCATCTATATTTTACTTATTCTAAATTTGAATTCTGTAAATTTTCTTTTGGTGGTAAGTCTTATCCTACAACAGGCAAACTGATATAAAAAGAATTGCTTAATCAAAATACACTAAATCAAATGTTTATCAGCATATATATTTTAAAACCTTTAAATTGGTCGACACACTTTAATATCATAGAGATAGATGTATTATTATATAGATGCCTTTACCCCATCTATGAAAGCAACTTAATTTCTTTAGAAACCAGAGGCAATTTGTTTAAGTTTTAAGGACTAGACATTTCACAACTTTTACAAGGTATGGTGTAAATGTTCACATTGGTATTCAAAGAGCCAAGATAGCATATAAAGTAAACAATATCAAGATTCTGCTTCCACTGACCAGTACATTAAGGAACGGGGAAAGCATTAAATTCTGGTCAAAATTAACTTAATGCTGTAAATTAACTTAAAACCCCATAATTATTAACTCAATTAAAATCCAGTAATTTTATATTTCAGTTATTTCTTTGATCAAAATTTATAGATAACAAAAAGCAAATAAAGTAGCAGTACATTGGGAACAAACTAATTATAAAATATGGCTTAGAAAATTTACAAAATGGAATTAAAATAGTGCTGTCTTGTCACAGTGGCTTTTTTAAAGATCCCCAAACCCTGCTTATTATTTCTGTCAAGTTACTTTAACCTCCTAAAATGTAAAAAGAAAAGAAAATGTAGTTAACAAATGGTTACACCAGAAAAACACTTGGGGGACTTGAGTGCTTGCTGGCCTTTAGTTAATGTCTAGAATCCCCTGTAGCTGCAGAGGACCCACTGTTTTTCAGTCATCAGGAAGAGTTTTGCATTTGCCTTCTCCACTACAAAAATCACACACACAAATAACAGAGAGAAGAATTTATTATTTAGAGATATTCTAGAAAATATAGCAAGAATGAACAAGAAAATCTGGCAATAAAAACAAAACACCCAGTGCCCATCTGGCACCTAGGCTATAGGAAATCTTGAATTTTCATACAAACCAAAATCATTGCAACCCTTGGTATACTGGAATTCAATATGGGATGTTTTTGTAAAGTTGTCAGTGAGGAAGCACTAAAAAAATAAAGCCCAGTCCTTTATTCAAAACAGAAATAACATCATGCATTTATTTGAAGGTCCCTGTGTAAATGTGCATGGAGTGAACCATTCACCTTCAGGACTTTTTCATAAAACTCAATGTTATATTAACTAAGTAAATGTATCTTAAGGAATTACAATTAGGGACATGGTTTTAAAGAACTTAAAAATGTTTTAAAATAATGGAATGGTTAAATATCTTATAAAAACAGATCTGATTTCTAATTTTTAGAATTAAAATCTCAAGTAAAAATATGGACCACAGTATAACAAGGGTTTCAAATTGTTAATAGCTTAGATTTTTAACATGCTACTAACACTCACTCTAAAACTATTCTGAGGTAGATGGTCATCATTGGATGCCCACATAGGTAGGTAAACAAAGCACAAACCTTCTGCATATGGTACGACTATCAATGCTCTGTCAACGAATACAGTGTTTGTCAGATGCTGTGCCACAACTGCTGAGTCCGGATCATGGAATTTAACAAAGCAGACACGGGATGAGACCGGCAAAGGTGAATCACTGAAAAACAAACAAATTGCATAAAAGTAGAGGAAAAGAATATCAACTAAAACATGTGTATGATTCATAAACCCACACACCTGCATTTCCAAAGCAAAATAGGCAGATATTAGTAACCTCACATATAGTTAGCTAGTTTTAAAAAATGACACCACAAATAAAGAACTATCCACTAAACTCATGTACAGCAAATTGCATGCATGCAATCATTGTTTAACTTTATAGTTTACCAAGTTAAAAACTGTTTGAAACTCAAGTGTCAGAGGTTGAGCAGACCACAAAAATGTCAACACTTGAAGAAAAATAATACTAATACCAGTTATTTTTAAATACAGGTAACAAGTAGTCTTGGCTTAGAAAACTTTTCAGAGCAAAAAATATACAGAATTCGCCAATTTAGGAACAAAAGAATATTGTGGAAAAGTATATCTATTTGACAATCGAGTTTTCTTTACCTGCCTACTAAATAAAATGCCCTGTCCTCTTTCATCTATAGCATCAGAGAGAAAAAATTTTAAGCACACATGGCAACAGTACTCCACCCTTTAGTGTTACTAGTATGCAAAATTTCAATAAGCAAAAGAGTCACTTCCCTCAGCAAATTGCTTAGATAAAACAAAAACAAGTGCTAATGTACAAATTATAGCAGACTACAAGGTAAGGTAAATTAAGAGAGTGCAGATTTTGTTTTGTTTTAAATATAGGGTGACTCAAATTTCTGCCATAAAACTTTCCATCTATGAGAGGGAAAGATTAAATATGGGCAGGAGTTGCTCCCTAATCCCAACCCAAAAGTTGTTTTAAAACCAATGCCCTATGGCAACAGTAATCACATCATCCTGGTCATACATTAGAATCTTCTGTGGAGAAAAAAATACCCTGGCTCTTTACTCCACAGCAATTAAATCAAGATCTCTTATGAAGTACTAAGTGTTTTCCCCTTCATTTTAATTCTGACAATTTTTACATGCACCCAGGGTAAAGAACCTCTGCCAAATGTAAGACAATTACATTTTAAGACTCAATGAAAAGGAAAATCCTATAGTATCTTTGAATGTTATTAGAATGAGGCTTATTGTTAATTTTCTTAATAAACTAGATTTTCAAGTGTACACAAAAATGTATTTACATCAGATTTGGTTACCCTAGGTATTGCAGAGATAAGTATTTGCTGACCCCCCCATCCCAATTTGTGCACTAACATGAAAATAAAAACTCATTACTTATAATGAAGACTAACATAAAGCTGTATAACCCTCAAACCCGTTAGAATTTGTAAGTTTACCCAAGGCATTGCCCTTAGATACTAAGCATAGATCCTAATCTAAGCTCAAAGCAAAGTTGACAATATATCCATCCACATAGAATTTAAGCCACCTTGTCATAGAAGCTTACTGCTAAATGTTTTTGAAAGGCTACAGTGTTTTTTAATGTAGACATAGTGTGTGTGTTTTTTTAATACGAAGGACCACTGGTGGAAAATTTAATAATGTTACACCCAAGAGTAGTGGAAAGAATACAATTCCAGCAGTTTTAGTACTAAAGCTATATATAGCAATTTGCATTTCTTTTCTGATATCCATATTTTTACCACTAAAGAGCTCTTTAAATGCTATAGATAAGGGAGAGAACTTAGTTTACCTTAAATTTTTTTTTAAGGTAAAGTAGCATATAAGTTACTTATATAATGATTAAAGTATCTATTTTTGGTCATTGAAATATTTACTTAAATAATGAATTTAAGTTTACCTGCAGTGTTACAGTAGCCTGTAGTTACTGCACACTTTTGACATATATATGCTTTGCTGGGATCATTACCCTGTCAACATTCCAGTTATATTTTCCATTATGAAATCCCACTAAAACCAAACATATGAAGAATACCTACTACGTGTAAAAGAGTGATTCCACTCACAAGTTGCGAGGCTAAATCAAGAAAATCATGATCAAGTTATAAAGGACAATCACAACACTGAAGTTCCAATACTAGGTCTGACACTGGTAGAGTGGCTTGGGTGTAAAAAACTACCTACATGAATTACAGTTCACTCATCTGTGAAATACGGTTAAATACATTCTCCCTCTAGATTTGTAAGAGCAGAGTAAGATGAAATTAGAAAGCATCTAGCACTATTTAATTTCCAACGTGCATTTTAGGAACTAGAATTAAAGTAACCATTTTTCTTTTAAAAAGAGAATGGGAGGAACAATGACAGATACTTTCAATGGCTATAGGGCTGTCATAGTGAAGAGAGGGTTACAGTATCTGTTATGAAGACAGGCAATTTTATCACTGGGTGAAATTATAAGCCAGCAATTTTTGGCTTAGAAGAACCAGGAAATAGATGGATTCAAGAATAAAACAAAGGGAGAAACCTTCTTGAGGAGGTTACCACTGAAATGTTTGGCATGATTCAGATCCCAGGATTCCCCCCCCCCCCCCCCTCATAGGCAGGGGCTTAGTCATATATGTACTTTAAAACATGCCAACTTCCAGTCTCCCAAATTATTGATGACCCCAACCAATGGCCTCATATTCTAGAAGAGGGAGAATTAAACTTAACCTGTTGATGATTGGTGCCATAGAGAAAAGCAAAGCAGTTAAATTGAATAAAGATGAAGCAGGTGTGCTGTATTTTTATACAGGGTGATCAGGAAACAGATTAGGTGGCATCTGAGCAACAAAAGGAAATAAGCATGTCATGGTCATATCGAGGAGAAAAGAGTTCCAGGTGGATATGAATGCCTTTGGTGGGGAGGGGGATGTACACCCTAAAAACAACAACACACCATGTGAAAATGTGTCTAAAATAGTCATAATTTTATGTAATCTGAGCCAATTAAGCATATTCTAAGAGCCAAGTTTTGACATAATGAACCGTCTTGGACTACTAAGACTCCATAGCACATTGTCAACAGGAAACTACTGAAAACTGTAGCAAGCTTAAAGAAACTATCTATCAAATATTTCTAAATTGTGCAGGTCAGATGAGCTATTGGGATGTAAGATTAGCAACAAAAGTAAACATCTACATAAGTACTATTCAATTTAGGGAAGTCACTAAGATAATATAGCATTTACTACATTGTAACTTTGTACATTTTCAGGTGAGAAAATAGTCTGTATGTGGGAACACATATGGAGTCAAAGAGCAGATACGTGTCAATATATAACTCCTTCCAATACAGGGAATGTCCTCTTAATGTACAGTACCCCAAATCATTATCTGGTGTATATCTGCTATCCTGGTTACATGATGAAACTACTCCTTGGATTACAAAGCAAAAAGCCCTGAGTCCAGTATCCCTCTAAGATACTGACCATGGAATGGGTAAAGGATAAGCCAGAAAGCTGATTACGCCTCCCTTTGTCATCTTTTTAATAAATGAATCATAAAAAGAGCATTTTCAAAATAAACAAAACACTTCAAGGTCAGCAACTGTAACAAAATTCTTAACTTGTGGGACTGGAAAGAATTATTTTGTAAATAAATCCAGTATCTCAAATACTTTGAATATAATCAAATGTGTGACTCATTTTCTGCCATTTACTGTTTATTAATTTTACTAACAACTTAAGGAGGAATATGTTGTGAGAAAAACTGAGTAACAGGAAAACATCTATTTCTGTATGTTCATATTATGAAAGCTATTTGTCCTTCATTACCAAAGCAAATTGAGGTTCTATTCAAGATTACTACAAATACATGTTCCCAGAACTGTACACTTCATGCAAATAATTCTAAAATCTCTCTCAGGTATATTCCCCTAAATATTAAAGACAACACAACAATTTGGAAACACTAAGGATCATCTGAAAATATTTTAAATAGGAAGTGATAAAATACGGTAATACCTCACAAACACCACAGTATGGTCAACTTGTATTATTTTGGTGTCTAGAGTACATAATGATTTATCACATCCACCAAAACAGCAGATTCCAATTTCCTGCTTAGAACTAAAGTGAAATCATAAAACTAAGTGGGATGGGAGAAGATACTGAAAGTAACATTTGAATTTTGAAAGAGTGCAGACTCTTTTGTTCCTAATGTTTGTTCTAATAATTATCACATCTTATCTAGCCTCATAGCTTCTTTACTTTTCTTTACAATCCACTCATTTAATACTTTTGCAATAAAAATGTGAGACAACAGGATAAAAAAAGCCATATACTCTAAATTAAAAATTTAGAACTATAAAACATCATAACTATATACATTATTTAAACAAAGGAAAACTCTTACTTTCAGCTATAACCCATTTCTTTTGTCATTAAAATTATGTACTCAGGTTCACTGAATTTACTGCTGTGAAGAGTGTTAATGTATTAACTCTGTATGTATTCAGTCGGCCAGAATCCCGGAACAGCAATACCCAGCAATAAGTGAACGACCACCTACAAAGTTCAATAATAAATTTACATAGGAACGGGCAATTTTGTTCCTTTCCAAAGAACTCAAAGAAACAACTTTAAAAAAAAAGATTAACCAAGACACATAAAATGCAGTTATCATGCTTTAGTTGCTCAAAGAACGACCCTGTTGGCACAATTTAAGGGGCCGGCGGTGGGAGGTTAAGAGCCAGTGACTCCTAATCCCCGAAACCCTGGCCCTGCGTCCTTAGTCGGCCCAGCCTGCAGCTCCTTCCCCAAGGACCGCACGGCCAGCTCAGCTAAAGCTCCCGCTCCCGAAGCATCGACAGGGCCTAGGAAATGGTGTTAGGCCCAGGCTGGGAGGAGTTAGCAAAACGGTGATGGTGGACGATACTCACTCCGGCGGGAAGAGGCGCAGTTCGTCGATCTTGCCTAGGAAACCGAAGAGGGTCCGCATCTGCTCAGAGCTAGCGCTCGGGGAGACATTAGTCACCTGGATTACCTCGGTGCCGCCGCCGCCGCCGCCGCCGCCACCCGGCCCGCCGCTGGGGCCCGGGCCCGCAGTGCTGGGGACGACGGTAGTGTTGCTCATGGCGCTGCTCGCTCCTGCTTTAACACATCAAACACACAACAAACAGTGAGAGGGAGGGGAAAGAGGAACCGTTTGCCGGAGAGGAGACAGGAGGGCGTCCACTGTTACAGCCGCCGCCGCTGCCTCCGCCGTCGTTTCTCCGCCCCACCGCTCGCCGGGGGGGAGGGAACAGAGCGCGCGAGTTCGAGCCCACGAGAAAACAAGCGGCCTCGCCTCCAACCACCTCAAATGCGGGCCCGACTTCCCCACAATGCCTTGCGGCGCACGGGCGCGTCACCGTCGGCTCCGCCCCGCGCAGGCGCAGCAAGCCTCGCTCGCAGCGAGGAGGTCGCGAGAGGCTCCGCGGTCTACTGAAATACGTCATCTCTTTTCGTTCCGCTCCCCCCTCATTTTTTTAAAAAGTGGAATTTTTTAAGGCAATATTCACTCCCCTGCAAAATAAATATGCACACTTTAGTAACTATTCTTATTTAAAAATGCCCACAATATTTTTATGTACAGATACTTCTAACTACAGATCTGTGGAGTTAACTAATGAAATTTCCACCCTACCTACCAAGATTTTCCTCTCCACCAGTAAAAATTTTCTGCAACTCGGTAACATTAAATTGTTATAATTTGCTTTGTCAGTAAACCTTCAAAAAAGGTATTTTAATGTTACATTTATTAGTGCTTTTATAAGCTAATTTTATTTCACAGGTTGACTAAGAGCACATTGTGCTGTACCTAAATATATTTAGGTATAAGATCTGAAAACTACAGAAAAAATTTTTACATGCATATTTTTGCTTAATAATTTTTTGAAGCTTTTGACTATAAAAAGATCCTTGCATAATTTTTCAGCCACATCTAAATTATTTTCCTTTCATCTAGTGTTATTCAATGACTAGCAGTTCCCCAAACCTGACAAAATACTTCATTTCACTGTCTTTATACAAGTTATTAATGACCTCCCCCATTTGCCATCTTTTGTAGGGGTTTCTTCTCTCACTGCCACAACTTCTCTGCGTAACAACAAGGGATACGTTTAACTTGTTATATTGACATGCACCCCCCCCCCCCCCCCCCCCCGCCCCACAGCAAAGCTGTGAATTTTCTGGGTCAGTTTAGGACCTAGCACAATGTCTGTCACACAGTCAATACCTAATAAATATGTCGAACACGATCCTTAATAAAGAGACATTTATTCTATGACAATTGTTTAATAATTTACCTGATCCTGAATATTTTTGGAGGTTAACACCTGAGGCTTTATGGAATATTTTCATTAGTAAATACCTGTGTGAAATAATGCAGTTAAGAGTATAATTTGTGAGAGATCAGAACACAAAGTTATTGAAATTTGATGTAGAGCCAACTGGCCTAGTTTACTTACTAGCTAAGTTACTTCTGCTAGCTCTTATATAAAACAGGATGGGTTTGTGAATGTAAGCCTCAGCAAAATTACAAATTACAACTAAATCTATGTCAATCACAAATGTGTATCTCTGGATAAAAAAATGTAACTTATTTTGAAAATGACATACGTATTTAACTGCCAATTACAGATTCTTAACAGTTTGATAACTGTTGTGTATCATGCCCAGCCAGTGTGCCTCAGTGGTTGAGTGTCAAACTATGAATCAGTTGGTCATGGTTCCATTCCAGGTCAGGACATATGCCTGGTTTGTGGGCTCGATCCCCAGTAGGGGACGTGCTGGATGGCAGTCGATCAATGATTCTTTCTCATCATTGATGTTTCTCTCCCTCTCTGAAATCAATAAAAATATATTTTAAAAAAAGATCTCATATATAAAAGAATGAAACTAGACCCCTATATTACACTACTCACAAACAGTAACTCAAAATGGATTAAAGACCTGAAACCATAAAACTCCTAGAAAAGAACATAGGAAAAAAGCCCCTGGATATTGGACTTGGCAATGATTTTTTTGATGGGACACCAAAAGCACAAACAATAAAATAAACACACAGGACTACATCAAACTAAAAAGCTTCTGCACAGCAAAGGAAACCATCACCAAAATGAAAAGACAACCTATGGAATGGGTTGTCTAAACTTACATAGTGCTATAAGTCAGTTATCATATATAATAAAGAAAAGGAGTTAATATCTAAAATATACAGGGAAGTCATATAACAGGAAAAAACAAATACAGTAATCCAATTAAAAACGGGCAAAGGACCTGAACAGACATTTGTCTAAAGAAGATATATGAATAGCCAATAGGTCCCCATAAAGATGCCCAGCATCCCTAATCTTTAGGGAAATACAAATCAAAACTACAATGAGATATCACCTTATGCCTGTTGGAATGGCTAGCACCAAAAAGACGGGTAATAAATACTGGGGAGGACGTGGAGAAAGAGGAACCCTTGTGCACTACTGGTGGGACTGTAAATTGGTATAGACACTATGCAAAATAATATGCAGGCTCCTTAAAAAATTCAAAATAGAGAAAAAAACCAAGATGGCGGCATAGGTAAACACCGGAGATTGCTGCCTCGCACAACCACTTCAAAAATACAACTAAAAGACGGAACGGACATCATCCAGAACCACAGGAAGGCTGGCTGAGTGGAAATTCTACAACTAGAAGGAAAGAGAAAAGCATACCGAGACTCAGAGGAGGTGCGGTGCGGAAGTAAAATACAGAGGTACAGAGGCGCATGCGGAGAGGGCTGGCGGTTGAGGACACGGTTGTCTTTTTCAATCGGGAGGGAATCTCAAGCTCTGAGCTCCAGTTCTGGGAGAGTCTCTGGGGACCCAGACTCATACGGGAGAAACTGGACTGTCTGGCATCGGTCGGAACTTGAGGGCAGCTTTCTCTCGGAGGTGCTTGCAGCGATTGCCAGGACACAGAGAAGCAGGGCCTCTGAGGGCAGGACAGAGCAGCCATAACTGCTCGCTCAGCCCTGTTGATCCCCTGGGATCCCACCCCACTCAAGCCATGCATGGAGGCTTTTGCATATGAAAGGCCTGGCCCTTTGCAATCTGATAATTACCTAACAAACTGCAGCTGGCCCAAGGCCCCAGGGCAACTTGCATTGCCTCACAGCTGGCTCCTGCTGAGTAGCCTCAGGCAAAGGCTAGATTAGCACCTCCTTAGAGATCCAGGAGCCAGTGTTCCTGGTGGTCAGAGTGGGACCATCCAGATTGCAGCTACTCGGATCCATAAAGGACACACTCAGGGGGCAGACTCAGTGACCACCAAAGCCCCACTGAAGCAAGTCTTGCCCCGGTCTCCAACACAGAAGTTCTCCCACTGCAGACACAGCTGATTCTCACAGCCAATTGGCCTGGAGGTCAAATCCTCCCAGTATTACCTACAACAATCAAGGTTTAACTACAACAAGACTGTGCACAAGCCCACAAGGGGGTGCACCAAGAGTGTCCACCTCCGGTAATTGGGGAGGCTGAGCCACTGGGCCCTATAGGACACCTAGCACAGAAAGCCACTCTATCGACACAGCAAAGCATAAAAAAAGGCGGAGACAAAGAAACAGGACACAAATGACAGAAATGGAGGAAAGCAAACTACTGGATATAGAGTTCAAAACCACACTTTTAAGGTTTTTCAAGAATTTTCTAGAAACCGCCGATAAACTTAATGAGACCCTCAAGAAATCTAATGAGACCCTCGAGGTTGTGATAAAGGACCAAGTTGAAATTAAGCATACACTGACTGAAATAAAGAATATTCTACAGACTCCCAACAGCAGACTAGAGGATCGCAAGAATCAAGTCAAAGATTTGAAATATGAAGAAGCAAAAAACACCCAACCGGTGTTTTTTATAAAGCAAAATGAAAAAAGAATCCAAAAATACGAAGATAGTGTAAGGAGCCTCTGGGACAGCTTCAAGCGTACCAACATCCGCATTATAGGGGTGCCAGAAGAAGAGAGAGAGCAAGATATTGAAAACCTATTTGAAGAAATAATGACACAAAACTTCCCCTACCTGGTGAAAGAAATAGACTTACAAGTCCAGGATGCACAGAGAACCCCAAACAAAAGGAATCCAAAGAGGACCACACCAAGACATATCATAATTAAAATGCCAAGAGCAAAAGACAGAGAATCTTAAAAGCAGCAAGAGAAAGACAGTCAGTTACCTACAAGGGAGTACCCATATGAATGTCAGCTGATTTCTCAACAGAAACTTTGCAGGCCAGAAGGGAATGGCAAGAAATATTCAAAGTGATGAATACCAAGAACCTACAACCAAGATTACTTTATCCAGCAAAGCTATCATTCAGAAGTGAAGGTCAGATAAAGAGCTTCACAGATAAGAAAAAGCTAAAGGAGTTCATCACCACCAAACCAGTATTATATGAAATGCTGAAAGGTATCCTTTAAGAAGAGGAAGAAGAAGAAAAAGGTAAAGATACAAACTATGAACAACAAATACACATCTATCAACAAGTGAATCTAAAAATCAAGTGAATAAATAATCTGATGAACAGAATAAACTGGTGATTATAATAGAATAAGGGGCATAGAAAGGGAGTAGACTGACTATTCTTGGGGGGGAAAGGGGTTTGAGGGATGCGGGAAGAGACGGAATAAAAATCGTACACCTATGGATGAGGACAGTGGGGGGGGGGGTGAGGGCGGAGGGTGGGTGGGAACCAGGTGGAGGGGAGCTATGGGGGGAAAAAAGAGGAACAACTGTAATAATATGAACAATAAAGATTTAATTTAAAAAAAGAAAAAAAATTCAAAATAGAACTACCATATAACCCAACAATCCCAGTTCTGGGAATATATCCAAAGGAAATGAAAACACTATGTTGAAGTGATATCTGCACCCCCATGTTCACAACAGCATTGTTTACAATAGCTCAGACATGGAAACAGGCAAGTGTCCATGGATGAACACACACACACACACACACACACACACACACACACACACACTCTCTCAAATATTATTCAGCAATAAAAAAGTAAATCCTGTCATTTTCGAAAACATGGATGGACCTTGAGGGCATTATGCTAAATAAAATATGTCAGACAAAGAAAGACAAATACTATATGACATCACAGTAGGATCTAAAACAAACAAACAAACAAAATAACTCATAGAAAAAGAGATAGGATTACTAATTACCAGAAAGGGTGGAAGAGGGTGGTTGATAGGTACAAACTTCCAGATATAAAATAAGTACTAGGGATATAGTATACAACATGATGACTATACTTAACACTACTGTGTGGTATATA